CACGTCGCCTGGCGCGTCCCTTGGGACGTTCCGCGGCGCGTCCTCTTAGCATGTTCCCTCTGTCGATTAGTTCTGGGGCAGCTACCATCTGCTCAGGCAGCTCGAGCGTCCCGTGGCGCGTCCCCTGGCACGTCGCGCGGTGCACGTCCATTGGCACGTTCCGTAGCGCGTCCCCTTGGCACGTCCCGCGGTGCGTGCCCATGGCACGTCCCCTGGCACGTCGCCTGGCGCGTCCCTTGGGACGTTCCGCGGCGCGTCCTCCTGGCATGTTCCCTCTGTCGATTAGTTCTGGGGCAGCTACCATCTGCTCAGGCAGCTCGAGCTTACGATCCAGATCAGTTCGGTGAGGACTCGGATGCCAGGGAGGACTCGATCCACAACGCTATATAGAGCACAATCGCGGCATGGCACATCGCAGTTCAGCACGGCCCAGCACAGCACAGCCGTCGGCACGGTACATCAAGATCGATACACTATGCACCTTGGCACGTTCCTTGGCGCGTTCCGTGGCGAGTCCACCTGGCACGTCGCGCGGCGCGTCCCCTGGCACGTCCCTCGGCACGTCCATTGGCACGTTCCGTAGCGCGTCCCCTTGGCACGTCCCGCGGTGCGTGCCCATGGCATGGCACGTCCCCTGGCACGTCGCCTGGCGCGTCCCTTGGGACGTTCCGCGGCGCGTCCTCCTGGCATGTTCCCTCTGTCGATTAGTTCTGGGGCAGCTACCATCTGCTCAGGCAGCTCGAGCTTACGCTCCAGATCAGTTCGGTCAGGACTCGGATGCCAGGGAGGACTCGATCCACAACGCTGTATAGAGCACAATCGCGGCATGGCACATCGCAGTTCAGCACGGCGTAGCACAGCACAGCCCTCGGCAGAGTACATCATCATCGATACATTCAGCATTGCATGTGCCCGTCGCCCAATTAGGTGTCTTTGAAATGTTGCAATGCCTTACATTTCTATATTCCTTTCCGGGTTCGTGGGTCGATTATGTTTTTCAGCACGTTCGCGTTGGTTGAAACTACGGTCAGGAGCGCGTGCGACGCATCCTAAAGCATTACGACACCGCTCACACACGCGTATGGTATGGACAGAAAGTGCGACAAACCCACCAGTCTGATACCGTCCGTTTCTTTTTCCCGGAAAGGGCAGAGGCCCAGAGTTCTCTTTTAGATGGTTACCCCCGGTTTCGACTTGAAGGAGGCCAGCGGAATTAGGTTGCGATACACTGCGAATTTGAAGGAGGCCAGCGGAATTATGGTTGAGGATGTCTCGAGCGAAACGCTTGTTGTTCAGAATGTGTTGAGGATTTCTCGAGCGAAACGCTTGTTTTGTGTTATAGATTGTCCTCTCCTGGGGACCTGAAGTCAGAGGATCTCTCAAGCGAAATGCTGGGTATCACGTGCCCAGGTCCTGAGGATGCCTCGAACGAGACGCTTGGTTTCACGCCTTCAGGTGGCCCAGACAGATGTCTAGCATGAGGATTTGTTGAGGATGTCTCGAACCAGAGGCTTGTTTTCACGTGTCCAGGTCGCCCAGGCGGATGTCTAGCATGAGGATGTGTCGAGGGCGTCTCGATCGAGACGCATGTTTGCACGTGTCCAGGTTGCCCAGGCGCATGTCTAGCATGAGGATGTGCTGACAACGTCTTGAGCGACACGCGTGTTTCACGTGTCCAGGTCGCTCAGGCACAGCACAGCCCTCGGCACGGTACATCAATATCGATACCCTTAGCATTCCAGCCTGGCATGTTGCTTGGCACGTTCCGCGGAGCGTCCCGTGGCGAGTTCCCCTGGTACGTCGCGCGGTGCACGTCCATTGGCACGTTCCGTAGCGCGTCCCCTTTGCACGTCCCACGGTGCGTGCCCATGGCACGTCCCCTGGCACGTCGCCTGGCGCGTCCCTTGGGACGTTCCGCGGCGCGTCCTCTTGGCATGTTCCCTCTGTCGATTAGTTCTGGGGCAGCTACCATCTGCTCAGGCAGCTCGAGCTTAAGATCCAGATCAGTTCGGTCAGGACTCGGATGCCAGGGAGGACTCGATCCACAACGCTATATAGAGCACAATCGCGGCATTGCACATCACAGTTCAGCACGGCCCAGCAAAGCACAGCCGTCGGCACGGTATATCAAGATCGATTCACTCAACACTGCACCTTGGCGCGTTCCGTGGCGAGTCCACCTGGCATGTCGCGCGGCGCGTCCCTTGGCACGTCCCGCGGCACGTCCATTGGCACGTTCCGTAGCGCGTCCCCTTGGCACGTCCCGCGGTGCGTGCCCATGGCACGTCCCCTGGCACGTCGCCTGGCGCGTCCCTTGGGACGTTCCGCGGCGCGTCCTCCTGGCAAGTTCCCCCTGTCGATTAGTTCTGTGGCAGCTACCATCTGCTCAGGCAACTCGAGCTTCAGGTCCAGATCAGTTCGGTCAGGACTCGGATGCCAGGGAGGACTCGATCCACAACGCTATATCTATGTATATTTATACAGATATATAGAGCACAATCGCGGTATGGCACATCGCAGTTCAGCACGGCGTAGCACAGCACAGCCCTCGGCAGAGTACATCAAGATCGCTACATTCAGCATTTCATTTGGCCGTCGCCCAATCAGGTGTGTTTGAAATGTTGCAATGCCTTACATGTCTATATTCCTTTCCGGGTTCGTGGGTCGATCATGTGTTTCCGGTCATAAACATATAATTTGCAACAAAGCTCATTGATACAGCGCATCCTGCCAGGGCGACAAAGCGTAACTACTAGCGTGTTCTGATCGCCGTACTTACTTCCCAAACGTTTGTGCATCGGCCTGCCACTGCCAGAGCTGCGTATATCACTGTTTGGTAGCCTTCTTCGTGGGATGCGTTTTTTTTTTTTTGTTATGAAAATGGCTCCGGCCTAGGGTTTTCGATTAGCCAGCGGAATTATTTCGCGATAGATAACAAGGTTGGGTAGTGCCGGAGGAAGTTCATTTTGAGGATGTCCTTAGCGAAACGCTTGTTTTTGGAATTCCGATCGATCAATCGCAGGGTCAAGAAAGCATTTTTGTGTGTTGCGGATGTCTCGAGCGAAATGCTTGTCTTTCAGAATTGGTTGAGGATGTCTCGGGCGAAACGTCTGTTTTGTATTATACATCGTTCCTCTCCTGGGGACCAGAATTCAGAGATTGTCTCAGGTAAAATGCTTGTTTTCACGTGCCCAGGTCTTGAAGACGTCTCGAGCGAGACGCTTGGTTTCACGTGTTCAGGTTGACCGGGCAGATGTCTAGCATCAGGATTTGTTGAGGATGTCTCGAGCGAGACGCTTGGTTTCACGCCTCCAGGTGGCCCAAACAGATGTCTAGCATGAGGATTGGTTGACGCTTGATTTCACGTGTCCAGGTCGCCCTGGCAGATGTCTCTCATGAGGATGTGTTAAGGATGTGTTGAGCGAAACACTTATTCTCACGTGTCCAGATTGCCCTGGTAGATGTCTAATATGAAGATTTGTTGAGGACGTCTCGAGCGAGACGCTTGGTTTCACGTGTTCAAGTTGACCGGGCAGATGTCTAGCATGAGGAGGTATTGAGAAGGCCTCGAGAGAAGCGCTTGTTTTCACGTGCCCAGGTCGCCCAGGTGGATGTCAAACATGAAGATGTGTTGAGGACGTCTCGAGCGAGACGCTTGCTTTCACGTGCCCAGGTCTCCCCGGCGGATGTCTAACATGAAGATGCTCGGAGGATGTCTCGAGCGAGACGCTCGTGTTCGCGTGTCCAGGTCTCCCAGGCGGATGTCGAGGATGAGGATGTGTTGAGGATGTGTTGAGCGAAACGCTTGGTTTCACGTGTCCTGGCCGCTCAGGCAGATGTCTAGCATGAGGATGTGTTGAGGATGTGTTGAGCGAAACGATTGGTTTCACGTGTCCTGGCCGCTCAGGCGGATGTATAACATGAGGATTCGTTGAGGATTTCTGGTGCGAAGCGCTTGTCGCAGTAAAGTATGTCGCAGTCCAGCCCCGCCCGTCCATGGGGCGTCCCCTTGTGCCCTGGCGCTGTGTCAGGGACGTCCCGTGGCACGTTCCCTGACGCGTTCCTTGGCACGTTCCCTAGCGCGTCGCCTGACACGTTCCTTGGCACGTTCCGTGGCGCGTCCCGTGGCGAGTCCCCCGGGCACGTCGCGCGGCGCGTCTCCTGGCACGTCCCGTGGCACGTCCATTGGCACGTTCCGTAGCGCGTTCTTTTGGCACGTCCCGCGGTGCGTCCCCATGGCACGTCCCCTGGCACGTGCCCTGGCGCGTCCCTTGGGACGTTCCGCGGCGCGCCCCCCTGGCATGTCCCCTTGTGAATTAGCTCTGGGGCAGCTACTGTGTGCTCAGGCCGCTCGAGCTTAAGATCCAGATCAGTTCGGTCAGAACTCGGATGCAAAGGAGAATTCGATCCACAACGCTATAGAGCGCAATCGCGGCATGGCGCATCGCAATTCAGCACGTTGCAGCACAGCACAGCCCTTGGCACGGTACATCAAGGCCGATACATTCAGCATTGCAACCTGGCACGTTCCCTGGCACGTTCCGTGGCGCGTCCCGTGGCGAGTCCCCCGGGGCACGTCGCGCGGCGCGTCTCTTGGCACGTCCATTGGCACGTTGCGTAGCGCGTTCTTTTGGCACGTCCCGCGGTGCGTCCCCATGGCACGTCCCTTGGCACGTGCCCTGGCGCGTCCCTTGGGACGTTCCGCGGCGCGTCCCCCTGGCAGATCCCCTTGTCAATTAGCTCTGGGGCAGCTACTGTGTGCTCAGGCAACTCGAGCTTCAGGTCCAGATCAGTTCGGTCAGAACTCGGATGCAAAGGAGGACTCGATCCACAACGCTATAGAGCGCAATCGCGGCATGGCGCATCGCAATTCAGCACGTTGCAGCACAGCACAGCCCTTGGCACGGTACATCAAGACCGATACACTCAGCATCGCAATTGCCCGTCGCCCAAGCAGGTGTCTTGAAACCGCTGCCATTTCTCACATGTGTATATTCCTTCTCGGGTTCGTGGGTCGATCATGCTGTTGAGATGTATGTAAGTTTTGTTGTCAGTGCATTTCTCCTTCTCTCTCTCCCTCCCTCTCTCTCTCTCTCGCTCTCTCTCTCTCTCTCTCCACGTCTCCATCTTTCTATTATTTGGCTCTCTCGCTCTCTTCCTCCTGATTTAGGTGCGGAGGGAGTCCTGGCGGCCCATCATTGCCACGGCTGTGCTCTCCTCGAAATCTTGGTCCAAACGCGCTCCACAGAGCAGGGAGTATGGAGTGAGATCCATGTAAGCAGGCCAAGACAGGGACCCAGGGAATTGTGAAGCCGTGCGCGTCGATACTTCTTTCAGCCCTTCTTGGTGCCCACCGACGGTCTGTTTGCTTGCTAACGCTCCGCACTTCCAGGCCCTCAGGAGGCCGATGGGGCCATGGCCGATAAAGGCAAGTCGTGCCACGCGCTCCTGAGCCAGAAGATCCAAGACCTCCTGGACCCGCAGTCCGCACCCGCCTCAGAGGACCGCGGCCCGTGGCTCCGGACGCGGTCCAGCACGATGCTGCGCGGTCCGGACACTGGGCGCGGTCCGGACGCTGGGCGCGGTCTGGCACATCGGCCTGGACGCGGCTTACGGTCAGGGACGTCTGCTCAGCGTGCCACCGCCCACCAAACCACCCCAACCCAACCCGAAGGCCCCGATTGGCCCTCCATTTCGGGGGGGGGGAGGTCGGGGAACGTCAAGCTACCCCCTCCCCGCCCGCAAGCCGTCTCGCTCACTCCCACCCGCCCTCCCAACACATACGTAGCACCCGAGTCTGGCCCGAGCCTCAGCATATTCAGTAGTCGTCTTTGGATGGGCAGCTACTGGGGGCCAATCCGCCGCCGCCTCCGCCGCCGCCGCCGCCGCCGCTGCCCGCCGCCGCCGCTGCCCGCCGCCGCCGCTGCCCGCCGCCGCCGCCGCCGCCGCCGCCGCCGCCGCTTGCCGCCTGCGCCGCCGCCGCCGCCCGCCGCCAGCGCCGCCGCCGCCGCCGCCGCAGCCGCCGCAGCCGCCGCCGCAGCCGCCGCAGCCGCCGCCACCGCCGCCGCAGCCGCCGCAGCCGCCGCCGCCGCCGCCAAGTGTATTATGTATTGTTTTTTCACAGGGATGGTGGGGGGGGGGCCGCATCGGGTTGGCTGCGCATGTTCCGAATTTGGAGGCAGAGTGTGTTTTGTATTGAATTACAAGGGATGGTGGGGGGGGGGGTCGGCATGGACCCTGGTTGGCCCCCAGTCGCCTGGGGGAGGGGGTGTTTATTAATAGGGAACAGTGATTGAGGAGACACGTGGAGCCCGTACCCCCTCCCCAAGCCAGAAATTCGGGTCTTCGGGCTTGGGGTGGTCTGGTAGGCAGTCGACGTGTCGGCTCGCCGCGTCTGGCCCACCACGCCGCGGCGCGGCTCTTCAGCCACGTCCCCGGGGCACCGAGCGCGCGTCGACGCCCCGAGCCCTTCCCAGCCTCCCGCCCCGCGGAGCAGAGAGCAGAGAGCGGCGCGGCGTTTCGGCCACGTCCCCGGGGCACCGAACGCGCGCCGACGCCCGGAACTCTTCCCGGCCGCCCCGCCCCGCGGAGCAGCGAGCGGCGCGCCAGCCGACTGCAGGGCGTGCGGTGCCGCGGGGGCCGCCGCTGCGAGGCGCGAGTCGGCGGCGCGCCCAGGCAGATGAGGTGGGCCTTCTCGCAAGCACAGAAGGTCCTTGGCATCGCTCGGACGTGTGCATCTTTCTTTCGGCGGGGACCATCGAGGAGCATCCTTGATCATTTGGCGAAAAAACCACGCACGAAACCGACAAAATCACAGGGAATGGACGTCCGAGCGATGGCCAGAGGTCGGGGGTGGACAGAACCCCCACCCTGACACGTCGATTCGCGAGTTGTCCGTTTTTCCGGTTCTCGAGAGGGCGCCACGGTCGTCGTTTTTCCAGGCTTGCGCCCGCCGGGTTGGAGCACGAGGTTGCTTTCACTGAGCCACGTTCTACTACAGGGGGTGCTGTCCATCCCCGGGAAGGCCTACAGCCCTCTGGCGAGATTTCTGAGCCTTCTCCGAGGCCACGTCGGGCTCCTCGGAAGACCCAAGGGAGCTTCTGAGAAGCCCTGCCGCCCTCCGAGAAGGCCTGCCCCCCTCGCTTCCCCCCGGCGCGCCGCCGAGCTAAGCAGACGTTCCGGACCGCAGCTCGGGGACCCCCAAATTGGGCGGTGACCACACCGTGCGGTGAGTCGGTGGGGATTCGGGGCCACCGCAGGGTTTTGGGACTCGGGTCGTTCTCCGAGGACGTCTCGGGCGACTTGGGCCTCCGAGGTCCCAAGACCGTGCGGTGACGGCATCGAAGCAGAAGAAACGGTATGAGGAAAAATGTTCGGCGCTCCGTGCTGATTTCTTGGATCGGCACTGGACCCCCAATGGCGGCGCCTCCAGCGCCGCCCTTGGCGCAGACTCAAGAAATCCGCGCGGACCGTCGAAAGTTGATGTTTATGCCGCTAATTCTCCCTCTAGCCACACCGTTTTGGGACCAACAAGTACGGTGGGAGCCTTCGTTAAGGAATGTGCCCAGGACGCTTCAGATCCTGGAGGACTCCTTATCTGATGAGGGCGGCGGTGGTATCCATGACCAAGCCTCAAGTGGTGTTCCACCAGCTTCCAGATCCTGGTTTCCTTATCCAATGGTTCCTTACGGTCGGTTCGTGCCGTGTCGACCGGCGGCGACCTTGTCGCCTGGGTTCAACGTTGGACGCCACTGGCGACCCATAATCGGTCGATGTTGAACGAACTGACGTTTAGGAACTGGCTGCTCGCTCAAGGCTGAACGATCCCCGCGGTGTCAGGAACCACCGCTTGGTTCGACACGACAAGATGCCGCGGCAAGCGTTTCTTCACGGCGAGGAGGTCTGGACCTCCCACATGGGGTCCGAGCAGGTGGGGTCGACACGGCACGAACCTGCCGCACCCAGTGCCCTCACCGCAGCACGCTGTTTGCCAGCCTGGAACACATCCCTGCCCCTATGATTGGGCATCGCCTCATCTCCATGCCAACCTCGAGGATTCCCTCCGTTTCTGCGGGCGCATCCCTGAGATTGTCAGCGCCTCTTGGCTTGCCAGTCCTAGGCGCAGGGGTAAGCTCGATGCTTGCTGGCTGGCCTGGGCGCGTCCCGCTGGCCTGCGGCGCCCACCCAGCAGAGGTCCTGAGGCCGCTCGCGGGGCGGCCCCGGGCAGCACTCGGGTGCAACGGTAGTCAAGCAGTGGCGAAGCGTCCTGGCTCGCCTACAGGCCCACCAAAGACTGTTCAAAGAACCTGCTGTGGTCTGCACGAAGTGTTCTTAGAATCTTTCTGGCGGGGGTTGTCTTGTGTTAACGCATCGGCTTTATGTTCTAAGAACACGGTTTTCATTCTTAGAACATCTTGAGGTTCTACGAAGATTTCGTGGTAGGCCTATAGGAATTTCGGGACGGTCGGTCCTTGCTCAAGGTACAGGGGGGGAATAGGCCCAGTTGAGGGGGACGCATCGACCCCCAATCGCCCATTGATCGTCGATAGGGACCCGATGGCTCCATCCCGCCCAGGATAGTGCGGATTCGCTGTCAGGGGCCTGTCGCCGATCTGTCGGTGATCTGTATATCTATATGTATGTATATGTATGTTTATATATATGCATGCATGTTTGCGTGTATGTTTGTATGTATGTGTGTATGTATGCATGTATGCATATATGTATGTACGTATGTATGTATGTATGTATGCATGTATGTATGTATGTATGTACGTACATACGTACGTATGTATGTATGTATATGTGTATGTATGTATGTATGTATGTTGGTAGGTAGGTAGGTAGGTAGGCAGGTAGGTAAGTAGGCAGGTACGTAGGTATGTATGTATGTATGCATCATTGTGTGCATATATATATGTATGTGTGCATGTATATGTTTACGTCTGTATGTATGTATATACATGTGTATATATATCTATCTATATACATATATATATATATATATATATATATATATATATATCACCGGGCCCTGGTCGATGTGACCCCCCCTTTTTATGCCAGTCCCTCCCTGTCGTTGCCCCTCGAGCGCGGCCCAGAGCCTGGCCCCGAGCGGCGGGCCTGGCTTCTCCAGCGGCTCGGCGGCGCCCCCTCGAGAGCCCTCTTCGCGCTCCGTGGGCTGCAGATGCAGGGTCTGTTTCGTGGAAGTCGGACGGGGATGGATCCGTTCCAGAGCGTTCCGGCACGCTCTGAGAAGGCCGCGGCGCCCGAGGCATCCTCCAGAGCCGCCGGATCTCACAGATTCTCGATTCACCCTCACCCGATTCCAGTCTTCTGACGAGGAAGACACGGCATTGACTTTGCTCGCAACGCTTGTGCATGTGCCTCTCGCCTCTTCCGCTGCAGTTTTTCCGCTGGCCTTTCTGCCGTCACTTGCGATGGCGGTCGACGGACTAGCGTTCTTCTCGTGGAGCCTGCCGGCCCTCTCGGCTGGCGAGCTCGTGCCAGACCTGAATTCAAAAACCCACGGCAGAAAGGCTAGAGGGTAAATTGCAGCGGAAGGAGCGAGAGGCACATGCACAAGCGTTGCGAGCAAATGCAATGCACTTTGTAACGGACACCCCTTCCAGGTGGGCCCCCTTGAGACTCGGAGTGGCGTCGGCCTATCGGGAAAAAGATAGCAGAAGTGTCGAGGACTTGCAATTCTTTTTCACCACACGCCGAGCTCAGGCTCACAACCCGAGGTCACTTGCGATGGCGGTCGACAGAGCATTCTTCTCGTGGAGCCTGCCGGCCCTCTCGCAGGACGTCTGGCCAGACCTGAATTCAAGAGCCCGTAACGCTGGAGTCAGAGTTGTGAGCCTGAGCTCGGCGTGTGGTGAAAAAGAATTGCAAGTCCTCGACACTTCTGCTGTCTTTTTCCCGATCGGCCGACGCCACTCCGAGTCTCAAGGGTCCCACCTGAAAAGGGGTGTCCGTTACAGTCGGCCCGGACTACCAGGTCGACCCTGCTAGCTCCAAGGTGCCCTTGTGTCCTGTGCCTCGCGACACGTGCCTTCTTACACTCCAATGGCGATGTGGCCTTCGGAAGGGTCTTGTGTTCTCGCGTGTCCTCTCCAATGACGTCCGACTGTATAAAGTGCATACACATACACTTTCGGCGGTCCGCATGGGTTTCTTGGAGCGCTGGACCTCCTTCCGTGGCGCGCGGAGCGGAGGCCCCAGCGCCGACCAAAGGCATCTGTGCGGAGCGTGGGACGTGTATGTTTGTGCAGTGCTTGCGTCCTCAACTTCGATCCGTCGCTCCCCCCCCCCGCAGACCTCCAGCGCGTGGAAGAAATTCATGGCAGGAGAGCTCTGTCGCAGTGCGTGGTGTCTGGCGGCCCTCGCCCGGCCCCGGGGCCCGTCAAGCAGGGGCTCCGGAGGAAGAGCTGGCCCTGGGGAAGGGGTCGAGACCCCCAGGGAGCGCGTACGGGTAGGGAACAGACATCAAGACATGGGGTGTCTGGGTCCCGCCGCTCCCCCTCCCGGGTCGACTTCGGTCCGACCGATCCGATTCGACATCGGTTCTGGCCAGCCCGACCCGATTCGGTCCGATGCCTGCATGGCGCTGCTGTGAACCCTGTCGCGGCCGATCCGATTCGATTCCCACTCCGTGCCGATGCGGCCCGATCCGACGCACGTGGCGATTCGATGCAGTCTCCCGGTCTGATGCTGACTGATCCTGCCGGGGTGTGATGGGACCGGCCCAGGCTGCCCCACGCGGGGCGGTCAAGAAGGAGCTTGCCGTCTCTTCCTCGGCGGAAGGCGGCGGAAGGGCGGCGGAAGCCGGCGGACGTGAAATGAGGCTTGGTCGCCAGGCGGAAGCTGGCGGAAGCTGGCGGAATGGCTGGCGGATACCGACGGAAGTAAAAGTTACCCTCCCAAGAGGTGGAATTTTGTACGGGATTCAGGAATTCCAGAATCGGCCACATCGCTTCGCGGCCTCAGGGGAATCGGCCACAGGAATTGTCCCTCCTCCCTCCTTCCTCCTCGACTTTTCTCCTCCCCCATTGCAGCACGCTCCGTCTAAGGGCTCCACATACATCGACCCAGCCAACCTGCTGCCCGACGGAAAGACCGTGTGCAGCGTGGCGCTACATGTGCCGCGGGATATCCCCCTCTTGGATCTTTTCCCGCTTCTCCCTCTCCTCCTACACTGACTCCTCCCCCTCCCCCCTCTTCCTCCTTCTCTTTCTCCTTCTCCTCTTGCTACAGTCTTCCTCCCCCTTCTCCCTTTCCTCCCCTGCCTCCTCCTTCTCCTCCCTTCCTCCTTCCCCGCCTGTTCCCCCCCTGCTCTCGTCTTATTCCTTTCCCTCCTTCCTCCAGACCCTCCCCCACCTCCTCCGCCCTTCTCCATCCTGCCCAACCCCCCCCTCCCCCCCCTATTTGTTCCTCCTCACGCTGCCAAGAACACATGTGCGCTCCGGAACTTCACCCATTCTGCGAAGCACGGCTCTGCGCGGATGCTCCGCAGCCGCATGACAGCAAGGTCGCTGCAATAAGGAAGCCACGCACGAGCCTCGCGGAGCTGGGCAGAACCCGCGTTGGGGCGCGCGCGCGCTGACACATCGGGCGCGCGTTCCTGACAATGGGGGCCGCAGAAGGGATCAGCCGAGAAGGATTTGTTGTTGGTGGAACCCCCCAGCGTGAAACTCACTGTCGGGGCCCGTCGGACAGGGCTCGAAAGTACTCGTTTGCACGAGTCCCACGCAAAATGGCAACTTCCCGCTTGGCCGACAAAACCTTCGGATCGTCTTGGGAGCAAGCTTTTCCGAGGAAGTCCGAGCAAGCGAGTTTGCGCATCATCGGGTCCCTGCACCTCTCTGGGGTTCAAATTCCGACCCAGCGCAGGGGTGGGGCTTGGCCAACGCTGTGTCGGGCCCCTGCGGCGGAACGGGACGGGGCGCCGACCCTGCCCCGGCACCGTGGCTGCCTCCACACTCCTGCCGAGAGGCCCTACGCTGGCTGTCGTCAAGCTCGTGCCGACCCAGATGGTCACGAGACGCACACTGCAGCACTGGGGAATGCTTCGGATCGGCGCAGTGTTTTTTTCATGACGGCCCCCCCGGTCCCTCCCCCAAAAGTGTCTCTTGCTTCGCTTGGCTGCGAGGGCGTGGACATTTCATGCAGGAACGGGACAGCGGCTTGCAAGTCGTTCTCCGATTCAGCTTGACACTTATGCGCGGGTCCCCTGCTCAAGTAAGATTGTTCTTGGTTCGAGCGGCCACATGGGCGTGGAAACTTATTGTTGGGGTAGGCCCCAGCACCGTCGCCCCCTCCACCCACGCCCGCCGAAAGGCCCCCGCCGGCTATCATCAAGCTCGCGCCGGCCCAGATGGTCACGAGATGCACGTTGCAGTATTGGGGGGGTTTTCGGATCGGCGCAGTGGCTTCTTTGAAGACGACCACCCGCCCAAACAATAAGTGTCTCTTGCTTCGCGTGGCCGCGTGGGCGTGGAAATTTCATGCTGGAGCAGGAAATCGGCTAGCCAGCCAGTTTCCGATTCAGCTTGAAATCTGTGCGCGGGCCCCCTGGGTCCCCCCAAAAATTCTCCATGCTCCGCGCAGCCACACGTGTGTGGAAGTTCAAAGCTGGAATACGAAAACAGCTGCCCGACCGTTTCCCGATTGAACCGTACATTTCTGCTTGGAGTGTCCGACGTGATGGTTCCAGCCGCGTGACTACACCGACAAATCGGGATTGCGGGCACCAGGAACTGTGATTTCGGCCCGGTCCTGTGGACTTAATTTGCGTCAGGGCCATATGCCTTCCCCCTCGCCTCCCCTTCCTCCTCCCCTCCATCTCCCCTCTTGTTGTTTCTGTCGCGACGCAAACGTTGTCGCTTATGGGTGAATAAGAGATTGCCCACATGGCGTTTGGCCGTTCCTGCGCGAGATCATTCGTCTGCCCTCCAGGGGACCGCTCCGGCACCGGAGCTGGCATGCAGACCGCCTTGTCTTGCCTTGCCACATGCCTGGAGGGTTACAGTGTGCGGGGTGGGATGTCGGGAGCCACAAGCTGCAGTTTTTCCATCACAGCTCTAGTTGGGAGATGCCAATTCTGAGCGCTGGTCGCTGCGCCATGCTTTTGTTTTGTTGCCGACTTGGCACGGCTGGCGCCGAGAATCCGGATGTCAGCACGGATCGGGACGATCCGTCCCGAAATTCTGGCTCCTGGCGCATGGAGCTGGGATGTCGGGCCGATGCGACCCCATCGGCGCCGCATTCCTGGTTCCCCCCGAGCGCCGGGAGCCCTGATTTCTAGCCGTTTCGGTCCGAGCCGTGCCGAAATCCGGGCCCCGGCCAGGAGCTGGGATTTCATACCTTGCCGCTTGTACAGCAGACTTTCGGTCAAGCCACGTACCTGCCATTGAATCAAAGTATCGTGGATCACCCCCTCCGATGGACAGAACCTGCTTCTACGCCATGGGAAGGGACGTGTGGGAGAGTTCGGATGTCAGACGTGGCGCGAGCTCGCATAGCTTGCCCCTCTCCCCTCCCCCCCTCCATCTCCTTCCGCCGCCCTCCGCCCTCTTCCGCCGCCTTCCCGAGTCTGCTCCTGCTGCTGCTCTTGGCTCTTGCAAGCTTTTTTATCCGTAAAGGTTTCACCCCCTGCCGCCGGCCCCCTCTCTATGATAATGGGATACATCAGAGTCGCGTCGGTGCGTCCCGGCGCTGCCTTGGCGCATCTGGGAACTTCATGCGGGGGCGGATAGAACTCCTCAGCGCATATACGTTGGCGTTATTTTGGAAGCCGTCAGCCCATCCCGCCACCGTGTCTGGGTTGTGGGTATGAGGCCCTTTTTATAGGTGTTGGCGGCGTCTTGGGCTGTCTTGGGGTGGCCAGGGAAGCTTCTTGAGCCATCTTGGAGCGTCGGAAAGCCGAAAATGCGAGAATCCCAAACTCCTTCAGGAGCCTGTGTAAAATCACCTCTTGGAGCTCTCTCGGGAGGCCTCTTGGAGCTTTCTTGGGACCAGTTGGGACCCTCCTCTTGGGCCGTCTTGGAACCATCTTCCGGCGCCTTGGAGCACTCTTGGCCTCGTCAATGCGAATACGGCGTAATTTGCGAGGCTTCATGGCCACGTGGACGCGAACATTGAATAATTTGCGAGGAGTTGTTGCCTCAGGGACGCAAGCATTGAACAATTTGCAAGGGCTTGTGGCCTCGGGACGCGAATCTTGAGTCATTTCAATGGGTTCTGACTTCGGGACTATTGAACAATTTGCGGGGTTTGTGGCCTCGGAGACGCGACTATTGCATAATTTATGATGGATTCTGTTTTCGTTGGCGCGACTATTTAACAACTTACGACGGCTTGTGGCCTCGGGGACGCAAGCCTTGAGAAATGTGCGAAGGTTTGTTGCTTCGGGGGCGCACGAATTTTGTAATTTGCAGGGGTGCATCGCCTCGGGGACGCGAACATCGCGTACTTCACGAGGGTTTGTTGCCTCGGGGACGCAAGAACCGCATACTTTCCGCGGGATCGTGGCTCCGGGGACGCGAATGTGGAGCGATTTGCTAGGGATCTTGGCCTCGGGGGCGCGAGCGGTGTAATTTACAAAGGTTCGTGGCCTGGGGGTCGCGAACGCGGCGTAATTGACGAGGGGTCGTGGCCTCGGGACCGCGAACGTGGCGTGATTTACCAGGGATCGTGGCCTCGGAGGCGCAAGCGTAGTGTAATTTACAGAGGATCGTGGCATCAGAGGCGCGGACGCATTCGAATTTACATGAGATCGTGGCCTCGGGGGCGCAAATACTGCGTATGTTGCAAGGGATCGTGGCCTCGGGGGCCCGAACGCATGGCAATTTACAAGGGATCGTGGCCTCGGGGGCGCGAACACAATGTATTTTATTGCGTCGGGAGCGCGAATCTCACGTATTTTCACGTGTCACACGGCCCCGCAGGAATTCCGACAATGCGACACGGGGACGGTAACCGGGTACTTTTCGGCTCCCCCCTCGCGTTGATTTCAAAAATTTACAGTGGGAAGTAGAAAGCAGGACCGTAACATTGGAAATTGGAAATTGGGACTGGCGCAGGGAGCAGCAAACCTAACCCTCGCAGCCCGATGGCCCCACAAGGGGGCCGGCGGATCCTCCTCTTGCCCCTCCTCCTCCTCCTTCTCCACCTCCTCCTCCTCCTCCTCCTCTTCTTCCTCCTCCTCATCCATTCCTCCTCGTGCTCCTCATCTTCCTGTTCCTCTTGTTCCTTTTCCCCGTCCAAATATCCTTCCGGCTCTTTCTCTTCCTCCTCCTTATCCTCCTACCCCTTGTCTTCCTCCTCCTCCTCCTCCTTCCCCCTTCTCCTTCTCCTACCCGTTTCTCTGCTTCTCGTCCTGGTTCCCCTAGTTGTTCTCTCCCTCTTCCCCCTCTCACCCCTCTCTTCGCATTTCTCCCCGCTCATCCTCCTCTTCGCATTCTTCCATTCCCGCCCCTCCCATCCCCTCCCCCCTTCACCCCCTGCGGTCTCGGTGCTGCTGCTCCTCCTCCCCTACCCTGGCCAGGTGGTCACGGCGATGCCCGCGTGTGACGCTTGCCAGTCCTGCGCCGCCGTGGCGACGGCCCGCGTCTTGGTCGACGGCGGGCGGGGGGCCCCCCCGCGGGCGCCCGCGGGAGCAGCGCTGCTGGCCATCGCCATCGCGGCGTTGGTGTCCGCACTGGTCACGGGCGCCGTGGTGGCAGCCAGGTGGTGAGCAGGAGGGGGAGGAGGGGGAGGAGGAGGGGGAGGAGGAGGAGGAGGAGGAGGAGGAGGAGGAGGAGGAGGAGGAGGAGGAGGAGGAGGAGGAGGCGTGATGAGGAGGGGGGGGGAGGAGGAGGAGGAGGAGGAGGAGGAGGAGGAGGAGGAGGAGGAGGAGGAGGAGGAGGAGGAGGAGGAGGAGGAGGAGGAGGGGGGCAAGGAGGAGGAGGAGGAGGCATGATGATGAGGAGGAGGCATGATGAGGAGGGGGAGGAGAGGAGGAGGAGGAGGAGGAGGAGGAGGAGGAAGAGGAGTAGGAGGAGGAGTAGGATGAGAAGGAGGAGGAGGAGATTGCTGGAGATTGCTGCTACAGAGAAGGTCGGATCGTTGCTACGCCTCCTCGCTGTTAAATTACTCGTAATTTAACGCCGCCTACGGGGGGGAAGGTTCCTCAGCGAGCGCCCAGCCCCCCCGTCCGTCCTCTTCCCAAAATTCTTGGAAGAACTACCCAACACAGGCATGAGAGATCCGCACTCCCCCCCAGCGGGGGGAATAGGCCACTTCATCCCCGCCTTCGGGGGGCAGCCCTTACGGAGTCTGTTAAGCATGGTGCGCCCCGAAGGAGTCTGTACTTTCGGGCACACCTCAGCAAGCTTGCACAGCCTACTTTTACATCCCACGATGGACGCATATCGAGCGCAACCCCAACACCACGCCAAACTATGCTGCATGGCGATAGAGTGCGAGGGGTGAACCGATTTGGCGCCAACACGGAGGGTTCTAACCAAGGTGGGGGGGAACATGAACGTGGTGGCCTTGCTAGCTGAGGTCCCTCGAGGCTCCATCCCCAAGGCACAATCCTGCTTGCAACCAGTCAATCACAGAAAAACGCCCAGGGGATTGGCGGCAGGTGTCACATATCTATTGGCCGGTCCCCAGGCGACGGAGACTGTGGCCCGAACGGACCTCAAGCTCCTGAATTCTCGTGAGTCTTCCATCCGACCCCACCGTACCGAACTCCCCACGACACGATTTATCGTCCTCGCAACAGGTCTGGGCCAGAATGGCCCCCATTCTCTGGTGCACTAAAGTGGCCCTCGCATCAATTAAATTGAGGGCCTTGATCTGGCTTCTAATCGCATCGGAGGCGGCCTTAGCTCCGCACTGGGCCAGCATATCCGCCATCTCGTTCCCACGAGATACATCTACTGGTTGGCCTGTCTTCACATGGGAATCAACGTCCAAGTGCGAAAAAACATTTTGTGACCCTGACAAGGCCCTACCCTCGAGCGCCGAGGGCGCGCCGAATTCGGGCCCACCAACGGATCAAGGGCCCTTGGGGGCTCTCTCCGTAGCCTAGGTTCCACCCGCAGGAGACCAGCTGGCAACCGGTCCAAAGAAGGATGGGTCCCATGGTGACCTTCAGGGCCCAAAACAGCGCAGCCAACTCAGAAGCTGGCACAGTCTGGTCCCCACCGATGGTTCCATACAGCCCCCGGAGAGCCCCCTGGTCCACGTCCAGTTCAGCCTCCTCCTCCCCCCGAAAGTAGACCCCCCCATCCGACCCGACAGACACGGGCGTCACTGGACGTGGCCGGGCCATCAAGGAAGCCTGCTTGGACCTGGATGGGGGACGGTGCCCGAGGGGAGGAGGGCGAGGGGCGAGGGAGGAGTCGAGGTCGGGCGGAGGGAGACCCACAGCCCAGACGTCCTGCCCAGCCCCGGAGTCCCAAGCTGGGGGCGGGGGCACCGGGTTCCACTCCAGCGGGACTAGCCCCGAGACACACGCCAGCTTCCGGCTGTGGATGAGAGCCAGTCTCGCCAATTTCCGAACCGTCTGCTTCAAGTTCCCATCCGTTCTGCCGTCTGCTCCGCCGCCGTTCCCGTGCCCTTCGCCGCCGGTGATTGGCCCGCACGCTTCATGAAAGAGGGCATTCCGATGTCCGCTGGATCCGCCGCCGCCGCTGCCGTTGCCGACATGCCTCGCACGAGGCGCAGTAGGTGTGATGCGCGCACGCTAGGTCGGTCGCTTCTCGTATACAGGCCAAGGATGATGAGCCGAGACATTACTACGGCGATGCGCATGGCTGCTCCTTCGAGGATCATATTTGCCACACTGATAAGACTCTTATCCGACCAAAGAAACGGTGGATTCTCCATGGACCGCACTGCCCACAGCCGCCTCTCTTAAGTGAAGCTTGACCGCGTCGAGGAGCCATCGCACGGTTGCGAAAGAACTTCAGGCATATTGAGCACCCGTTGAGGTCACGAGCGCGTGATTGATATTATGTACATGGTGTTTGTGCCTAAGGTGTTCTGTGAACCCATTACGTGATTAAATATTGGCGGGACATGTTCTCCTTTTCCCCCTCTCGTCAGTGACCTCCACCGTGCAAGCATATGGAAGGGAGATACCTCATTCATCATCGTCCCCCTCGCGCCAACCTCTCCTGAGTCCCCCGTCTGGTACCAAGGTGGTATAAGCGTCCTGCCACGAACCCGTCGGAGCTTGATCGGTGTGAACTCCTCCCTGACCTCCGCGTCCTCCATCAACATCCATTGTCACTCTAATACTTCAGAAATGCGCTCCTTCGAGTCAGGACAAGAACGACTCGCCTCCCCGATGCACGTGCTTACCCTGCGTGCCCATGGGGATGCACATTCCATGAGTTCAGTCTCCTAGCGTGGCCAGTGGGCGGGATCTTCGAACTGCGGGCCTCATCCGAACAGCATTAGCAACACCTGAACATGGCCTTTCGGATAAGAAGCCCGAAACTGGTACCAACACAGGCGTCTTGCCAGCAAGTTCGTCCCACAGTCGGCGACCTCCCAGTAGTCCAGACTTTCTTGTGTTGTAAGTGAGCGTGTGTGATCGCCGTCGTGCGTGCAAGGTCCCCCCCCTTATCGCCGTCCTCCCCAATCGTGCGAACTGCCTGTTCATGAGATGTGTCTGCTTATCTGTTAACATGGACGGATCCATTCTAGTAAGCAGTGAACCTTGACATGCACCTACTCGTTTTCACTGTCGGGGTACATCTAGAGACCAGACGGCTGCCATACTACGACATACCGAAGAGGCTGCCGTGAAACGACGCTGTATGCGGGGGGGGGGGGCTTGCTCGAAGAGGAGTACTATCAGGTCCAGGGTATCGGGCACTATCTGCCACCATGCCTTCGAGCCGTCGAGATAGGTGCAAGGCCTCCGCTAGGCGACGCTCACTCCAGGTTTCCTCAAACAGTTCGCTTATGAGTGCACGCTCTTGCTGGACTGACCTTCTCCTCTCCGCCTTCGACTGGTTCGATCGTTTCCGAAGCTCCTGCTCGATCTCCTCCAGCTCCTCCATCTGCTTCCCTTCCCCACTAGTCTTCACTCGCCTTCTCATCTTCAGTAGCTCCCGTCTCCGAATACAGTCCGTATTATTTGGTGCAGAAGGTGCAGTACGAAAGCGTTTTAACCACACACTTGTGAACGTGTCCTCGAAAGCCTCGAAGACGTGGTCTGGGGCCCCAGTACGAGTCAGGGCCAACAGTTCTTCCTTATTCTCCTTTGCCTCCTGAGCGAGGGCTCGAAGGAGGGGCATCTTCCCTGTCCATACCCCACCGCCATCATCAAGGCCGAGAAGTTGAGTCGAGCAGGTTGTTCGGGAGGTAGCAGTTTCGGGTCCTTTGTGTAACCCATTTCAAGATAGAGTGGAGCGTGGTCCCTGGCAGGGATGCCCTTCTGGAACATGAGCTCCCAGTGTGCGAAGCGTGTGGCAGTGAGGCGATCTCTCATGGTAGCCTTGTCGGATAAATTTATAGTCGATCGTAGAAGCCCGAGAAGGACTAGAGCAGAAGAACAGTTGGACACCTTAAGACGGAAGGTAGCAGGCACACGCATAACATGTTGGTCCAGCAGTTTCCTCAACTCCTCCCCCGCTCCTCTTCTTCTTAGTTCCTGCCCCCTCGTATCTCCCACCGGGGATGACCGTATTGCCTCCCACTGTTTTGATCTCTTGTTTAACTCCAGCCCGTCGTTAACATCCGAGTAGAAGATGAACAGGATGCGGATCGGGATGGAATTGAGGATGTCGGCCCACCACTTCGGGAGTGTCTGGACGGTCGCGTGGAAACTCCCCACATGGCCTTTGCTTGAGGGTAGCGGAAAATCAGAGCGCCGCGAACGATGCCCTATGCTCCCCCCCCTTGATTATTGCAACTATCGCACGGCCGGCACACTTCGAGGATGGGCTCCAGATTTGGACAATACCTTTACCGCGGCAACCACGTCCCAGAAAGATGGCGCAGCCAGTGCTGCTGGTCAGTTGGCCCTTCTGGTACACTGATGCAAGACTCGCCCTTCCATCCAGCCACCTCCGAAGCACTCCGTCGACCTGCCTACAAGATTCCGTAGCACCCGCTCACAGGAGTGCATCCGAACTGTGTGTTGCCTGACGCAGCTCTGTTGTGAGCATTCCAGTCGCGAGCATGGGGCCTGAAGCAGGTATTCGGAGAGCCGACCTAGTCGGTGCCACGGCCTGTTTGCAAAGGGCGCGCCTCGGCTCCCCGACACTCTTTTCGGGCGCGTGGGGCCCAGGTTCTGGGCCGCCGAAGCAAGAGAGTCAGGAGACTTCTTTTTAGGGTCCGGCGATCACCCGGGTTATCTGGCTTGCCCCCCCTCCCCCCCACCCCCCAGGATAACCTAATTTTGCCGGTTGTACAGGTCCGGGGTGGGGGGGGGCGCGGGCATATGCAGGGCTGTCCACAGCCCGAAGGTTAGGTTATCGGCCGGTCCCCTCCCCCCCCGCAGGATAACCCGGGTTGTCGCCGATTCAAAAACAACGGTCTCCAGCCTGGGGCTACAAGCGAGGGAGGTGGAGGAGCAGCAGCAGGAGGAGCAGATGCTGCACACGCCTCCCCATCCCATTGTTGTCCCATCCTGCGCCTTCTCCCCCCCCTTTCTTTTCCTTGGCATCGCTCGGACGTGTGCAGTTTTTCCTTGGCGAGGTCCATCGAGAAGCGTCTTGGATCATTTTCGAAAAAATGCACGCACGCAGTATAACAAAATACACGAGAGATGGACGTCCGAGTGATGGCAAGTTCCGCACGGAGAGTGGACGTCCGAGCGATGGCAAGTTTTTTCCCCTCATCGAAGTAAGTAGCTACGGCCCAAGCTATGTCCGAGCTAGCTTGTTCATCTCCTTTGAAGGTCCTGGCGGGGTTGAAGCTAAAGCTATTGTTCTCCCAACCCTCCCGCCCCCCTCTTTCTTACGCCTCCTGCCTTTCTCGCCCCTCCTGGCTCCTATCTGAGGCCTCCTGCCTCCTAACCTGTACCTCGTACCTGCCTTCTGCCTCGCCTCCTGGGCGCTGGCAACTGTTGCCAGCTGGGCCAGTGCCGATACTATGATGAACGCATGGGGGATCACCAGAGCGTGGCTTGTTTGCATTCGACTCATGGTCCCCGTCCCCACACAGCTCGGCGGACTGGTAACACAATGATGGAACAAGGGGTCCCCATCCCCAGGTGCTGCCAACTGCGCATCGCTCTGTGCCTTCGTGAGCTCGTGGGGGTCCAGCGGAGCGTGATGCTACACCCAGATCCGAATTTGAACTACCTTTTCTGGGCTGTTGCCAATGGCGCGATCGTCGACACTTTCGTTAAGTCGGACCTGTCCCTCGACAGGGGGAATATCCAAAAATAGTCAAACATATATTCTGGGGACGATGATTTGACTATTTCTTAATTTGATTTGGTATTTCTTATTTGTCGTCCAAAATCCCCCTGTAGGGGGACATGCTCGACCAAACACTTTCGTGAGCTCGTGGGAGGTCCAGCGGGGCGCGGTGCTAGCCAGCTCCAGGTGCGGCCTCGCCTCCCCGTGTGCCTCTACCCTGCGCGGCTGCCGCCGCTTCCGTGAGCTTGCGGGAGGCCCCATCGTATGGGATGAACACAATGTAGGTGGCCAGCAAGCGTTTCCTTGGTTTCGACCCAGCGGTTGGCGTTCGCAACCAAGGGAAGTCAATCTGGCCCCCCTCCTCCCTCGAGTGAACGACGCGTTCCAAAGGCCCTGGCTGCTCCTTGACAGGCGGTCCACGCCTGCATGGCTCCCCCGGAGGAGTAAGGAGAAGGCTGATAGGCACGATGATGAATAGGGGCGAGGATGAGTTCAACAAGAACGATGTTGGCGCGGATGAGGGGGCAGGAGGGGGCACGGGAGGACGATGGTGCGACTACGGGTGAGGAGTAGATTGAGGGGAGGATTTGGAAGGGAGGACCGAGGATGTGGACGAGTAGGTGGGCGATGGTGACGATAGCGGCGACGGTGATTATGATGGTGATGGTGATGGTGATGGTGATGGTGATGGTGATGGTGATGGTGATGACGGTGGTGATGGTGATGGTGATGGCGATCCTGATGGGGATGGAGATGGTGATGGTGATGGTGATGGTGGTGAGGACGATTACGATGACGCTTGTGACGGTGCTGCTGATGATGGCGGTGCTGAGTGTTGATCGGGGCGTCTCCCGGTTGGGCGGGCGAAGCGGGCGTGGAGCGGCAGGCGGCCGTGCGTTTGCGGGACAGCCGCGAGCTTTCGGCAGGCGCCGCGGCGGCGTCGGCGCTGATGGTGGTGATGATCCTGTTGGTGCTGCTGATGGTGATGGTGCTGATGCTGCTGTTGGCTGGCGGTGATGGTGGTAATGCTGATGGTGGTGCGGTCTCGATAATGATGTTGGTGATGATGGTTGGTGACGGTTGATGATGATGGTGAGTGTTTATGGTTCATGATGGTTGGTGCTGATGGTGATAAAGTTGATGGTAATGGTGAGGATGATGATGTTGATGATGTTGTTCGTGATGGTGATGCTAGCTGGCTGCTCCTTTCCCTCGACAGGTCGGAAGAAGCTGTTGGGCATGCTGGAAGCGCTCAGTTCCTGCGCTGTGTGCTTGGGTGTTCTCGTTGCGCGTGCCTTCTCCAACTTTACCCGGCATGCATTCCTTGAGGCGTATGGTTGTATTATCGGATCGCCCATGAAAGGTGCAAGAACAATGCAGCTAGTACATCCTGAATATACCACTGCACTTTTTATCAGGTCATGGAAAAAGTGGAGAATAAGCAGGAAGTCAAAGTTGAGGAGGAGGAGGAGGAGAAGGGAGAGGATCAGAGGAAATTCAGATATGGAGTTGTTTTTACTTCCACTCTGGAACCTGACCCCCGCAGGTCTCCAGGGTCTCCAGAGGCCTCTGCAGGCACCCCACGGGGCCAAAGCGTTCAACTAAGTTTCACTTATTCACAAACACGTTGCAAAACCATTCAAAATTTTCCCCCTTGATCTTTAAGGGTCGAGGGCAACACTTCGCACGCAGGGAGGGGAACGATGATCATTGTGGTGGTGGTGATGATGAGAAGGAGTCAGTAGGAGAAGAAGTCAGAAGGAGGAGGCGGAACACGATAAGGAGGCGGAGATTCTGGTCAAGAGGGCACCCCCCTTTCTGAGGCGGTGTGGCGCATCGTCGACTCTTGAGGTCCGGGTCCCGGCGTACACGGAGACGCCGCAGGCCGCCGAGGGGGGGGGGGTCCAGTGCCGAGCGGTGGAAGCGCAAAGACGGAGTCGTTGCCATCTGCCAGTCTGAAGTCGGCCGGCCGCGTTCTTGTTTGTTTTGATTCATCTCTCTCTCTCTCTCTCTGTCGTTTTTTTATTTCTCTCTCTCTCACTCTATATCTACCCCTTTCTCTGTGTCTGCACTGGCCTGTAAACGCGCAGGCTTAGCCCAGTCGTTCTGCTCGCCCTGCCGCTGGAGAAGGAGGAGGAGCAGGAGCAGGAGCAGGAGCAACAGGGCAGAGCAGACACATGGCGAGCCTGCGGGCCGCCGCTAGACAACAGCGACACAGCGCGGGACATGTACATACCTTGGATGACGAAATATACTTGTTGTGCGACGAAGTACCGATCCACATGTACCTGCGCCGACGGCGCCTGATGTACCTGGCCAGGATGGCGCATGCAGACACGCCCTTCCTCCACCGCCTCATCGACGAACTTTGGGAGGATGAGAAGGCCTGGAATGCTCTTATCGTCGAAGATCTGGACTGGATAAGAAGTTTCTTACTAGACGACGAGGACATCGGCAGCGACATCAGGGGCTTGTTACGGTGGCTACGCACACAGCAGGTGCGAGCCGCACAAGCCACGATCACCCGGGCGTGGCTCAGGTACAAAGCATGGCAGCACGACATATATCGTCATCGAGTATGGCAAAGGCAGCTACACCGTCTTGCGCAAGAGTTTGGAATGACCACGCCCAACTTCGAGGGGCTGCCGCCCGCACAGCACTGTGGCTACATATGCTATGAGTGTGGCAAGATATTAAAAACTAGGGGAGCATGGAAGCGCCATCGCACCATGGAACACATCGGCTACGACCTTCCCGAATTGCTTGCCCGTTCGACTACCTGCCCTGGGTGCGGGAAGAACTTCATAACGAGATCCCGCATACTCAAGCACCTGAGAAGGTGCCCCAAATGCCTGGCGGTCCTCCAAGCAATCGAGGTCCCAATGGATTTGCAGGAGGCAGCCGAACGCCGAGAAGAAGAACGAGAAGCTGTGGCGGCGAGGAAGGCAATGGGGCATGGAGCTACAAAGGCGCTGGTGCCCGCCCAACAGGTCATACAGCTCAAGCTGGCCGACTTCATAGAGCAGCATCAGCTTCAACTCTCGCCGGCCCCGCCTGCAGCAGCGGACGTCCAAACAGGGACACCACCTGCAAACGTATTCTCACCGTGCAGGCCCATGGTTACCACGGCTATGTTCCTGCTGCACCTTTTCTCGGGCAGACGTCGAATCGAGGATTTCCAGTACCACTTCGAGATGAACATTCGGGAATGCAACTTGGTAGTACTATCGATCGACGTGCAGATAGACCCCGTCAAAGGAGACCTGACGAAGCCAGACGTCGTCGAGTTTTGGTGCGCAGCGATAAGACAGGGCAAAATATTTGGTATTGTGGCGGGCCCGCCCTGCGAGACGTGGTGCTCATCGCGCTGGCATGCCGCCGAGGGGAAGGCACCACGACCACTACGTACACATGAAGCCCCCTGGGGCATACAAGCAGCTAGTCAAGCGGAGCATCAGCAGATCGCACTAGCCAACGAGCTATACAGGACAGCTTTACTACTCATCACCACGGGCTTGCAGTACAACGTTTCAGCCGTACTCGAGCATCCCGCCCCAGCCACCTGGTGCCCTCAAGCGCCTAGCAGCTGGCAGCGAACAGAGACTCTCTGGCTCCTGGAGCAGACGGGCGTCGAACTTCACTACATAGACCAGTGCCAGTTCGGGCAGGACGCGAGAAAACCAACATGTCTGATGGCGGCACACCTCGGTGAACTCGCACAGGAGCTAAGGGCGGTACCTGGTGGACAGCTATGCCGACATACGGGACATGCCAGAGCTTACGGACGAGACGGCCAAGGCGGCTGGAGGACCGCCCCCCTCAAAGAGTATCCATCAAGGCTGTGCAAGGCAATGGCTTCCGCTTTCGCAGCCCACTGGGGGCAGCTTGCCGACGAAGAGGCAATGTGGGCCGAAACGGACGAATGTTACCACAGGTTCTACGCCCCCTTGGACCACTACATTGAGCCAGATCAGATCGGACATGATTGTCACAGGGCATGGGGCAACCATCGGCGCTAGCGGCTGGCACTGCAGCGGCCTATTTGGTGCAGCTAGCCGAGTCAAGCGTTCAGTATTATATACTTCAGCCCCGCAAGGGAACATCGGTCTGCATTTTGGCGCAGACCACCGGCCTGCTACAGATTTGAGGGCAGCTGGCATTGCAATATTGTATACAGAGTATTTCAGATTGGCGGCAGACGGGTCAACATCAGAGTACCTACTGCATGGCCCAATACCCCGTTGCCTGGGTTACTGGCATGGCTGCGCCCTGGACAACGATTGCGTGCCAACTCGAGGGGGGGGGACCCGTAGCGCCCATACGGGTGGGCACGATCCCTCAATGGCGACGGAGCGTGCCCCCCCCTCGAGCACTTTCTGGATTTATCGACTTTCCTAATATTGACATTGATTTCTATGATTATTCGCCCTGGACAGGCATTACGGCGTGCTGCTTAAGTCCTGAGGAAGCCCCGAATGCGTGGGAAGACCCCAGGCAGCGTCGCCAAGTTTTGCTATTGTTAGAACGCAAGACCTGGGGAAGCCCCGAATGCGAGGGAACACCCCAGGCACAAGTCGCCACGTTTTGATGTGTACCTCGGCGGCTTGGATACCTACAATTTGGATGGCGCCAGCTGGCTGGCAGCGGGCGGCTCAGTGGCCGTCGGCGTACCACCGACCGACATCGACAGCATACCCAGCGCGACCCCCCACAACTCCTGCCAAGTCTACGCTGTCCTGGTGAGGATCAAACTTCGAGACGGGCTCGAAGGGCTGGGGGGGAAGGACGAGTACTTCCCGCGCCCGCCAGCGGGGATGGTGAGGGGCAGGGGGGGGGTAGGACGGCCACTACCTGCGCCCCCGCGGTCCGCCCTAGCTCGCCACCCCCACCATTCCCATGGAGAAGGAGGAGCTACCCGATCGTCCGAGGGCGAAGCTGGACAGCCGAGACACCCCACTCCGACGATAACAAGTACCAGGCCTGGGGTTCGCCCCCACCGAGGGCACCGTGACCCCTAGCCATAGCGGGACGAGGTGGGACAGCAACGACCCCCACTTGAAGTCGGTGCATGGAGGCCTTGGAAGCACACAACCAACACAACACCAGCAACGAACCGACCCCCAACGACCGTCCAACTCGCTCCACATCCTGCACTCAGCCCCCATACATCGACATCTACAACATCAGATGATCAGCACCCCCCTGCCCTTCAAAAGCAGGAGGGTCATGACTGACGTCGGCAGCACCGCGGCGCTACAGGGAGCCCTACAAGGTGCAGCTCTGCGACGTCAGGCAGTACTTGAAGCCATGGAGTACTCGACCAGAAGGGGCAGCCTGCCCCGCGGTGAAGGAGACACAGCGCCTGGCGCCGAAGGGTGTCTCCCCACCGCCCTCGCGTGGCAGGCGAGGAGATTGCTGCAGAGACGCCGAAGTCCAAGAGAGGCTCGGCGGGCCTCCACAGCGCCAAGCGCCGAAGGGTGGAGGCCGCCGCAGAGAAGGCGGCCATCCACCTGATGACCGGGCGGCTGGGCTCAGCGCGAGGCGCCGAAGGGAGCCCAGCCGCCACACAAGATGCCGACCGCCCACAAGGAGGCCGAAGGCCTGGCTGCGCGCCGAGCTGGCTGAGCTGGCACGGGCGAGCGCGGCGCCCGCTGAGGGCCCAGACGGGCCCTCATCTTTGTAGTTTTTCTGGAACCCGGCCCCTCTGCTCCCTTCTCTATGATTATTTGGTCCCTGGCTCCCTGCTTTCCTCGGGGTCGCGTTCCCGGGGCCGCTGTCTGAGTGCCCGCACGGCCCTGGAGGGCCGCTGCAGAGCGCTCCGCGCCCGCGGGGCGCGCGACAAGACGCTGCATAGCGAGAAACGTAGAAACGTAGGAGCAACAGGAGGAGGAGGACGGAGGAGGAGGACGGAGGAGGAGGAGGAGCAGGAGGAGGAGGAGGAGGAGGAGGAGGAGGAGGAGCAGGAGGAGGAGCAGGAGCAGGAGCAGGAGGAGGAGGAGGAGGAAAAGGAGGAGGAGGAGCCTGCTGCTCTGCTGCTCGCCCTGCGCGCCCTGCCGCGCTGCCGCCGCCCGCCCTGCCGCCGTGGCCTTCTGCTTCGGCGTGCCCCTCGCGTTCTTCGCGCCATGCCAGGGGGGCCTTCGGGGCACGGCCCCGGCGGGGGCGACCGCGTGCGCCGGGACCTGTCCGTTTTGGCACGCGCTCCGCGCGGCTCGGGCTCTGCGCGAGACCCCAGCGACGGCCCCAGCGCGGTTCCCCGCATGCGCTCGCCTCGCCCACTTCGGCACACCCTGGGGCGACGGGATCTAGACATGTCCGCTGCCCAGGCCTGGCCCATTCCGGGCCGAGGAGCGACGTATGCGCCGTCCTGGCTTGGCCAGGGATGCACATACACGGCTCTTGGGTTGCCCACGCGTGCGGAGCCCCGCCGAATGCGGCACACGCTCCGCACAGCTCGTGCCCCGCAGGGGGCCCCAACCACGACCGCAGTGGGGGCGCTCGGGCGGTGGTCTCAGGAAGAGGTGATCAGAGGAGGAAGATGTACCCGTACCTCTATCCTTGCCTCGTTTTTCCTTTGTGGGCCCTTCGTCGCCACCGATGGATTCGCCTCGAAATCCTGGTCAGAACGCACCCTGGGAGAGGTCCTGGGAGTCGCGGTATCGGTATTGGTGTCTTTTGGTCTCCCCAGCTCGGATGGTGGTGGGTGGTGTTATCTGGATGAGGTGATGGCTGGCCCATGCGTTTGGGAACGAACTTCTTAGAGAAAGTCCTGATGGCAAGGGCGCGTCGCATGGTCCTGCCGGAGGCCCACCCAGGGGCTTTGATGCTGCAGGCGGCCCGTGCTTTGGCACCCCCACATGGGAGTCTGCTGTTGTTGCCCCCGCGCGTCGCCTGGACCCCCCTCCGCTGGACCTGGAGGGTCATGCCTTGTTCCCCCCCGCGCTGATTCAAGAGGCGCGGCCGGTTTCAAGCTCTCGCAAGTCTGTTCTCAGATTGTATCGGACCGAAGTCCTGCGTCCGGCACTTTTGAAATACGACCGAGCAGCTTTCGCAAAGGTGGCTCAGCAGGTGTTGGCACCTGCTAGCCGCTCGTTTGCCGCTTTCTGTTCCTTCCCGTCGCCTCGTGATCCAGCGTTCCTGGCTGGTGAGCCGGGCCCTGCCTTCCGGTTGCACTATCGTCTGCGGGTAGTGGCGCGAATGACAGGCGGGTGGCCGCTGTCGGTTTTAGGCGGCAGGGGGCGCCCCGTTTCCCTGCGCCTCTGCAGAGCCTGCAGGCGCCGGAGCGCTGCTCTGCGTCACGCGCTCGCGTCGTGCCCCTTTTTCGCCACTGGCCGTCGGGAGTTGTTTCCTGGCGACGTCCAGCAGGACCTGATGCTCCAGATGTAGTTTGGGGGCCACACCAGCCCCGGTTATTACATCGCACACATGTCTTTCGTCGGGAGAACCCATTCGACATTCTGCACCGTGGTCTTCTTCGTCGTGTGCCTCCTCTTCCTCCTCTCCTTTGTCTTTTCCCTCTTCCTGGGGCTGCGTGCCCGTCTTGATTTTGCCCGAAGAGAACTGGAGCTCTTCATGTACTCTACAGTGTTGTTGCGTGCTGTCTACTTCCACTGCCGCCTGGCGCAGCACCGCAGAGGGCATCTCGCCAGGTGTCGCGCCTGCCGTCCCGCCGTCTGTAAGTCCTGCGTCACAGTCGTGATGCGCGGGCGCGCAGGCCTTTGTCTCACTGGTCGGTGCGTCACAGTCGTGATGCGTGGACGGGTTGATCATGATGCAGGTCGTGGTATGCCTAGGTTCAGCTCGTGTTGCAACTGTTTCTTTCTCTTCCTTCTTCCCCTTCGTCCTCCTCTTCCTCCTCCTCTGGGAATGTGCTCAGCTTGCGTTTGTATCAATGCCCGAGTGTGTGTGTGTGTGTGTGTGCCCGTCGCCTCCCCAACCGCCGTGTCGCTTCACTAGGCTTCGCCGGGGGGAACGGTACTGCGCCTCGGGGCGAGGAGGGGGGTACACGCGAGCCTTTCGTTACAAGCGCGGCCCGGAATCTTGGCGAACGGCGCTGCCCAGGCGCCCCGGGGAGAGCGGTGGTTGTCGGGCGGCGCACTCCCGCCACTCACGCCTTTGTGGTGTCAGGGGGGTGGAAGGCGTGTGTGACACCGCTGCCTGTCCCCCGTCGGCTGTCGGGCCCAGACCTGCTTTCGCCTGGCAGCTCTGAGCCGCAGCAACTGGCGGCCGGGCGCCGTCTCGGGGGGCCGGACGCCGGCGCGCGCACCACGGACGCTGTCGACCTGCGAAATGCGAATTGCGAAACAATGATGAGGTGAGATGAGATGACATGAGATGAGGTGAGGTGAGATGAGATGAGATGAGATGAGATGAGATGAGATGAGATGAGTTGAACTGATATGAAATGATTATCTATGAGGTGCTCTATTATGAGATGAGATGAGACCAGTCGCGGAGTGAGTCTGATATACTCTTGATTTTTACCCCGAGGAAAGAGCAGCCTTCTCAGCCTTGCTGAGAGCTTTGGGTCATAAGCCTCTGGATACTATGTCAAGGTATTCACGCCTAGCCTTGGTCATCGCGTGGGCAGACACTGCGAGGCGAGACCTCGAGGCTGGATTTGATTGTAACGCCCGCAAGACCCGCAGAACCACAAGACGAGAGATTCGTAATCTTCCATATTGTGCGATTCGTGGGCCCACCCCCCAGCGAAATGTAAACGCCTCCCCATTGGCAATCTCATGGTAGGACCAGACCATCTCCCAAGGGCGCAGCATTCCGTGTCCAGCCAACGCATTCTCTCCGCGTCGGAAGCCGAATCTCGACAAGTCTGGCATCTCTTGCCATAATCCTGTGGGACGTGGCGAGTGCGAAAGACAGTCACAGCCGAAGGGGGAGGGACGGGAGCGGCAGCAGCAGGGCGCCAAACCTTTTTACCTTCCGCACGTATGGCCTCCAATGTGGCCTTCAAAAAAAGATCCAGAATGAGCCTGGCCTCAGCCTTGGACACGGCTGCACATTTTTAAGATGAGTGTGCGCGGCGCTGAGGCGATATCCACATTGTGAAAACTACCCGCCCTCCATCTTTGAAACGGTTGCATTGTTTTGCATCGAATGCGCGCAGGGCTTAGGCAAGAGCTACATTATGAAAACGACCCGCCCTCCAACCTTGAACTTGGCGCAGAATTTGGCAACACATTCGCGCGAAGCTATCGCGAGAGCTACATTTTGAAAAGGGCCTGCCCTCCATCTTTAAGGCTGCTGCAGACTTTTACAACGAATGCGCGCCACGTTCTGACGAAAGCCTCATTTTGTACACCACTCGCCCTACATTCTTGAAACGGTTGAAACTTTCAAGCTTGTGGAGACGACGTCTCTGGCGAAACGTCCAGCCCGCCCTACCGACACGTCTGGGGGTGCGACAGGGGGGAGTTATTCATCAGGATGTTAGCTAGCGTGGCCCCCACACAGTGGTTTCTAGCATACTAAGTGATGCGATTTACGTGGTGCGAGCAATTAGATGCAAGCTATGTGTTGTAAGCTATCTGGAGCAAGCTATGTGGTGAAAGCTATGTGCTGCAATCTGCGTGGTGCAAGCTATGTCGTGCGATCTATGGAGTGTGAGCAACGTAGTGCGATCTATGTGGCGCAATCCACGTGGTGCGATCTGTATGGTGGAAGCAACGTGCTGCAAGCCAGGCGGAATTGCAATGCGGCGGCGACGAGGCGGCCACAAGCGGCGACGAGCGGCGACGTGGCGGCGACGTGGCGACCGCAAGCCAGCCAGGGCAACACATGAGCCCAGTGCGGCGACGAGGCGGCGACGGGCGGATCACAAGCCGGCCAGGGCGACACACTAACCCAGCGCCCTGAAAAGCAAGTAAGATTCCCTAAGTGCAAGCAGTGATTGGAGACAAAATATTGAGGAGCAGGGGGATGACGATGATGATGGTGGTGGTGATGAAGATGAACATGATGATGATGATGATGATGATGATGATGATGATGATGATGATGATGATGATGATGATCATGATGATGAGGAGGAGGAGGAGGAGGAGGAGGAGGAGCAGGCGGAGGGGGGGGAGGTGGAGAAGGAGCAGGAGGATGAGGGTGAGGGTGAGGAGGAGGAGGCGGAGAAGGAGGTAGCATGATGATTATGACGAGGAGGAGGAGGAGCAGGAGGAGATGGACTTGGAAAGGGGGCAGGAGGAGGAAGAGGAGGAGGAGGAGGAGGAGGAGGAAGAAAAAGAGAAGGGAGGCTGAGGAGGACAGCGAGGTGCAGGATCTGGGAGGAGGAGGAGGAGGAGCAGGAGCAGCAGGATGGTGCTGATTCCCCCCCCACCACCGACTCGCCCGCAAGGCGGGCGCTCCGATCCTCAATGGCCCCGGCGAGCCCGACGAGGCGGCACCGGTGCCGTGAGCACCCAGCACGCCGTTGCCCCGCCGTTGCCCCGCCGCCCGCCCACGGCAAAGGCCGCGGGCGGTGCCTCGCGGCTCGCACCTTGTTTTTTTGCTATCAGGGGAAGGGTTGATCCTCAAACCGTGGCGCTGGCCCCTGGCTTGCAGCAACAGCGGCTCCCGCCCTGCACTTCCTCACAGTGTATGTCAAGTTCGCGCTCTCGCGCGGGACTTCCTCAGAATGCAGGCAGGGATCGCGCCCTCGCGTGGCAATTCCTCCTGCTGTGTTGCGAGGCCGTGCCCCTAAGACTCAGGGATCATGCTCTCGCTCTGGACTTCCTCATGGTTTGCTTGGGGATCGCGCTATCTTTCGAAGCTTCCTGGCTCTTCCTTTTAGATCTACAGCGCCCCGCCCGCTCGCCCCGCCCAGGAAGGTCCGCCCGCCCGACCCGCCCGTCGGGTTCTGCCGCTCGTACTCCTGCTCCTGACCCTCCTCCTGCAAATCTCTCTTGTGCTCCATCCTCCTCCTCCTCCTCCTTGTCTCCTACCTCCTTGTCTCCCTCCTGCTTGTCTCCTCCCTACTCCCTCGCCTCCATGTTTTTCTCCCCTCCTCCCTCCTCCTTGTCTCCCTCCTTGTCTCCTCCCTCCTTGTTTGCCTCCTCCTTGTCTCCCTCCCTCCTCCTTGTCTCCTCCCTCCTTGTCTCCTCCACCCTCCATCCTTCTCCCTCCTCCTTGTCTCCTCCCTCCTTCCTGCCCCTGTTTTAGGGCCTGCGCCAACTGCACGTGGCAGGCAGGGAAGATAGACCCCCGATGGGGGTTACGATCGACGACGCGGTGGTTGGGTATCGAGGGTTAGGGACACACGTGTTGAACTGCACGCGAGCAGACATGAGCGAGTAGTCTTAAACTGATGTTTGCTGCTGCTGGTGTTGCTGTCGTTGTTGTCGTTGGTGTCGTTGCTGGTGTTGGTGTTGTTGTTGTTGGTGGTGGTGGTGGTGATGATGTGTTTGTTGCCGTCGTTGTTGCTGTTGTTGCTGTTGTTGTGGTTGTTTGCTGTTGTTGTTGCTGCTGCTATTACCGGTATTGTTGTCGTAGTAGTTGTTGTCGTTGTCGTTGTCGTTGTCGTTGTTGCTGTTGCTGTTGTTGTTGTTGTTGTCGTCGTCGTCGTCGTCGTCGTCGTCGTCGTCGTCGTCGTTGTCGTCGTCGTTGTTGTTGTTGTTGTTGTTGTTGTTGTTGTTGTTGCTGTTGTTGTTGTTGTTGCTGTTGTTGTTGTTGCTGCTGGTGGTGGTGGTGGTTTTGCTGTTATTGTGGTTGTTGTTCTTGCTGTTGAATTTTCTTTTTTCCCCATCAGACCTTGCCTCTTTAGGAGTCCTAGCGGATTCATTTGGTCAGGTCAGGTTTGCCGCTGATTTTCGCTGCACGCCTGGGTGCCCGGGTGCCCGGGGGTGCCCGGGGCCCGGGTGCCCAGGGGTGGCCCTGGGGGGCCCGGGGGCCCGGGCGTGCCCGGGGGTGCCCTGTAGCCCGATAGCCCAGTAGCCCAAAAGCCCTATAGCCCTACAACTATATAGCCCTATAGCTCTATAGCCCTATAGCTCATTAGCCCTATAGCCCTATAGCCCTATAGCCCCCCAGCCATACAGCCCTGATTGAGCATTTTCTCCGGTATCATTTAAGAATAAGTGTTGTTGATCCCCCCCTCAGGGGCCACATTACGTTTTACAATTGAAGTGCCCTTCCTGGGACTCTCACCTTGTTTTCTACAATGGAAAGCGAGGGGTCACCAAACTGGGCCCATGTCCCCCGAGTTATAACCACAGCGGCTCCCTCCGAATACTTCCTCACAGTTTATTTCCAAATCGCGCTCTCGCGCGGGACGTCCTCACAGTTTATACAGGAATCGCGCTCTCGCGTGGGACTTCCTCGACATTACTTTAATCGCTTCGCTCACTCCGCCGGCCCGTATTGTGCCATCGCAGGCATTTGCCTGCACGTTCGTGGCCTCTTGGAGGCCGTTTGTGGGCCTCTTGGAGCCTCTTTCTGGGCCTCTTGGCGGTATTTATGGGATCTCCTGGGGCGTCACGGGGGCCTCTTGGGGGCCTCTTGGGGGTCTCCTGGGGCTTTTCGGAAGCCTCTTGGGGGCTTCTTGTGGGCCTCTTGGGGCCTCCAGAGGACCTCTCTGCGCCCAGAGCTCGAAATGTCCGTTCGGGTCCCTCGTCTGGGCCCGCTCTTGGAAGCGTCTTGGGAGCCTCTTCGGCCATCTTGGAGGCCTCTGGGGCTGTGTTGGGGCCCTCTGGGGCCGTTTTTGGACGCTCTTGGAGGCCTCTTGGGCCGTGTTGGGACAATCCTGGAAGCCTCTTGGGCCGTCTTGGAGCGCCGGTAAGCCGAAAAGGCAAAACCAAAGGAAAGTCACTAATTTCTACCTCTGTGGGCCCTCTTGGGAGGTCTCTTGGAGGCCTCTTGGGGCGTCTTGAAGGCTCTTTCGCCTGTCTGGAAGCCATTTTTGGGGTCTTGGATCGCTCTTGGACCGTCTTGCCTGGGTACTTTACGTCCGGGGACCCCCAGAGCGGCCCCGCGCGCGCGAATTAGAAATATTATTAACCAGTTAATGGAGTTCTTAGCACGCCCTTGGCCCGTTGGGCCCGCGAATTCAGACGCCGCGCCCTCGACACTCAGGAATCACGCTCTCGCAGTGGATTTCTTGACGATTCATGTGAGAATCGCGCTGTCGCTCGAGATTTCTTCGCGATTCATGCAGGACGCACGCTTCAGCAACCCGCCTGCTCGATCTGGCCGACTGGGCCCCGCCTTCCCGACCCCCGTCAGGGTCCACCCGCCCGATCTGCCCGTCTTGTTCTGCCACGTGTTTTCTGCTCCTGGCCCACTTCCTGCTAGTCGTGCTCCATCCTCATTCCTCCCCCTTGTCCTTTCCTTTGATCCTTTCTCTCTTCCCCTGCCTTCGAGGCTGCACGACATACACGTCGCAGGTAAGAAAGATATACCCTCAAAGGGTTACGATCGAAGACGGACAGGGCGGGTATCGAGGGTTACGGGTATACGTGTCCAATGGGCCGCGAGCAAATAAGAGCGAACAGTCTAAGCATGATCTCTGTTGTTGTTGCTGATGTTGTTGCTGCTGGTGTTGTTTGTTGGCTGTCGTATGCTTTCTTTTTGATCATCTACACAGAATGTCTGCATACAGGCACACCTAAACTCACCGTTTCCCGCAATATCCTCCGTCCTCCTCTCATTCTTCCTGCACTCTCTCCCTTTGCTCTTGTCTCAGTCTTCTCTGCCCCTCTTCCTCGATTCTCTTTCCGCCTCCGTCCTCTTTGCGGGCGGAGGAGATGGGTGGAGGGGGGGAGAGAGGAGAACCAGAGGTAGAACGGGGAGGGGCGGGAGGTGGAGGGGGAGGAGGATGAGGATGAAGAGAGGATGATGCTGATGATGATGATGATGATGATGATGATGATGCTGATGATGATGATGATGATGATGATGCTGATGATGATGAGGAGGAGGAGGAGGAGGACTCAAAAGGGGGGACGGGAAGATCGGACGCGGGGGCGCAACGGGGGGTTGCCACTTGCGCATCCCTTCCGTGTAAGGGCCCCTGCGCCGCAGCGTAATTCGATGCAGGCAGACTCTGGCAGCTCAACAACGGAAATGGGCTCTGGCACGCTTCGAGCACCTCTCCTTTCCTCCTGCTCCTTCTGGCCCTCCTGCTCCTTCTCACTTCTCGCTCCTCCCTCGTTTCTTCTCTTGCTGCTTCTGCGCCTCCGCCTCCTCCTCTCCCTCCTCCTCCGTCCCCCTACCGATATCATTCCTTCCGTTTTCTCCCTCCCTCCTTTTTATTCCTCCCTCTTCTTCCTGTCCCTGCTCGTCCTTCTGGCCTTCTGCTGGTGCTGCTGGTCCCTCCTCCTTCTCCTCCTCCTCCTTTCTCAAGGCTGCATAATCCTGCGGCTGTAGCCTCCCCCGCCTCCTCCTCCTCCTCCTCCTCCTCCTCCTCCTCCTCCTCCTCCTCCTCCTCCTCCTCTTCCCGCCATTCACAGAGTTGCGGGATGTTGGTGAGAGCGGCCATTCAAAGGCCCTGTGGCCGCCGGGGGTGGTGAGAGCGGTCTGTCCGCCACCGTCGCTTGTCCTGCCCCCTCCCAGGGGGGGGAGGTTGACTGGCTTCGTGGGGTGCGGTGGTGGCGTGGCTCGGGCATGCCCGAGCTGAGGCACCCGCCCTTGCGGGGGCTGTCCTTCGTCACCCTTCCGTTCTTCTTCCACTTCTCCCACCCTCTTCTCCGCACCTTCTCCTGCGCTCTGTGGAGGTCTAAAAGGTCCTCCCCTTTTTGCAAATTCAGCCAAGCACGCGGAGCATCCTTGCTGTGGTGTTGCTCGCGCTTCGATTGAAGCATGCTGTGATGGCTCGTTTTCCTGACTTCTTGGCGGGAAAATGTGTCCGCCGCACCCCCTCGCCCTCCTTGTCCTACTCGTCGTAATCGTAATCGTCGTCGTCGTGGTGGTCATTTCTTCTCGTCCTTCTCGAGCTCCCCCTCCTCATCGCCCCCTTCCTCTTCGCTTACGGGCAGCTTTGTAAAGAGGAGCAGGATGACTGCTTGACACCAGACGGCGGCTCTGAAAGCTAGGAGGAGTCAGCGTTAGGTATTCCGCGATAGCAGACGAGGAGGAGGCGGGGAGGAGGGGACGGACGAGGAGGAAGAGGAGGACGAGTGGGAAGGAGAAGGACGAAGGGATCCCCAAGGAGACGGTCTTGCTTTTGTTTGCTTGGCCAGCCGTGAGGTATCGTTGGCTGCATCATGTGCCGTGTTGTCAAGTTTGTCATTTTCCGAAACAGTGCGTGCACCACGTGGGTTCTCTTTCAGCTGCTGGGGAATCGTGTGCCGCCCAGCGGGCGCACGTGGGCTCCTGGTACCCCGTGCGCTGGCAGGGTTCTGAACGTTTTGGCGGGGTGTTCGAGGGCGCCTCTTGGGCGCCCCGCTCGCTGGCTGGCTGTTCTGTTCTCGCGGCTTGCGAGCGCTGGCGCGGGCCTCGTGGGCGCCCCGCGCACACCAGGCGGCGCACCCACCCGGATGCACAGACAGATTGCGCCGCATAGCTTGTACCGCATAGCAGGCAACCCTCCGGATGCACGACGTAGACGGCACCACATGGATTGCACCGCGCAGACCGCACCACAGGCATCGCACCACACAGCTTCCAGGCCATAGAATTCGCGACGGGTGCAGCACCGCAGGCATTACACCGCAAAGGCTGCACCACACTTACATTGCACCACGCAGGTGGCGCAATGCAGCACGCATCACATAGCTTGCGTCACATGTACCTCACGCCATATATTGCACCACGCAGATTTGACCCCACATTTGTCATGGAAACGCGTAGGTTTCACCACACGGCTTGCACCGACAAAGGTTGCACGTCAAGAAGGCAAGAACATCCTGGCTTGGGTCCGTGCTGGCAATCACCGCGGTTGGATACTCGAGCAGGGGACGCAACTCCGAGTCCAATTTAGGACAATTTTGGATGCAGGGCAACAGTGGGGGAAGCCCCAACGAATTGGCGGGCGTCTTGGTGGTCGTCGTAGTTCTATGTGGCTGACCCCTGTTTAGGCGCAGCTTTAGTCTTAGTCCAGTAACCCTGGTCGCCCGCTCCCACTTTCCAGGCCTGTCAGGGTGGGTGGGGGCCTCGCCCCACTTCCCTTCCGTTTTCCTCATCCATTGCCGATGCGTATGCGAGAGCCGAGGAGTCGCGAGGAGATCTTACACAGCAATGGCACGCAGTGGGTCGAGGAGGCGTGAGGAGATCTATACCTCGACTTCGCCATGAGGAGTCGCGAGTCGTCGTGCGCGGGCATGGCAGATTCTCGCCCGCGCACGCCCGCACGTCCGAGTGAGCCTGCTGCTGCCCGTGGCCACGGACTGAATCGAAACCGAGCGGCCACCTTGAGAGGCCGCGCAGGGCCGAGAGGAGCAGAGCCTCGCGAGGTGGGCCCGAGCTGCATGCCGCGCGGCGGGTGAGGTGGCGGGGCCCTGCCGCTCAGCGCAGCGGGGACTCGTGCTCTGACCATTGGGCCCGCGCCGATCGCCGTCGGGAGGGGGCCTCTCGTCGCCGCCGACGTCCGGGGCTCCCTGGCTCCCGCCGCCGCGCTGCTGTCCGCTGGTGCGTGCTGCCGCCGCTGCCGCTGCTGCCCGCCACGCTGCCGCTGCCGCCGCTGCTGCCGCTGCTGCCGCTGCTGCCCGCTGCCGCGCTGCCGCCGCTGCTGCCGCTGCTGCCGCTGCTGCGCGCTGCTGCCGCTGCTGCGCGATGCTGCCGCTGCTGCGCGATGCTGCCGCTGCTGCGCGATGCTGCCGCTGCTGCCGCTGCTGCCACCGCTGCTGCGCGCTGCACGCCGTTGGAGGTGCTCCTGCGCGGTTGTGGCGCTGGACGGGGGCCTGTGGGCGGCGGCCTCGGGCCGCCCTGGAGGGGTCGGTTGGTCTCGTGCGGTGAGGGATCGGCGTGGCGGGGTCGAGGTCAGGGTCAGGCTGTGCATCGGCCTGGACCTTCTTGTTGTCGTCGTCGTCGTCGTCGTCGTCTTCATCCCTTGGTCCTCCTTCTCCCCCTTTGTTTGCCATCCGGCGTCTCTCGAAAGGAATTCACCAAGGTAGTAGTGGCATCGCTGTGAACAAACAGCCTGGAGAAAGGTAGTCCGCAAATGCACCGCGAGGCAGCACAATCCCATGTTCACCCTCTTTGTTGCCCCATCGGGAGCTCCGCCGAAGGCTCCAGTGGCAGAGTCCGCATGGCGGGCTCGGGCCAGTTCTGTACACACCTCACGAGGATGGTGATTCCTTAGGGAGCTCCACCGAAGCCCCGGCGGCAGGGTCCGCTGCGTCACCTTGCCCATTGTGACACACCCCTCACGAGGATCGTGGCCCCGAGCTCCAGATGCACAGGTTATTCTGTGTGCGTTTTTCTGAGTTTGCGTGCTCCCTTGCTTTGTCTCATCTCCCTCGCGGTATTCGCAGCTCCTCGTTGGGCCTCTTGGAGGTATGCCGGTATGTCGGAAGTTATCGTGAACCACCGTCGGCTATCTTGAACCATTTTGGAGGCAATCGTGGAGCATCGCAGGCCCCGTTGCAGCCATCTTGGGCCATCCTGGACCGACACTCCGCGAAACCCCGAAACATATTCAAGGAGGGGCGGGGAGGCAAACCTCTGGGAAGGGAAAAGGTTTATGGGAGAGGAAAGAAAGAACTCGCCAAATCACCTCAGTCAAAGTGGCTGGTTGGATTTTTACCCCCAAGGGCATCAGCATTACATGACAGGCCTCCCTCTCCTCCTTCTCCTCTTCCTCCCTCCCTCCTCCTCCCTCCTCCTCCTCCTCCTCCTCCTCCTCCTCCTCCTCCTCCTCCCTCCTCAATCCTATCTCCTCCTCCTCCTCCTCCTCCTCCTCCTCCTCCTCCTCCTCCTCCTCCTCCTCCTCCTCCGCTCCTCCTCCTCCTCCTCCTCCTCCTCCTCCTCCTCCCCTCCTCCCCGCTCCTCCTACTCCTCCCTCCCTCTTTCCCTCCTCCCCGCTCCTCCTCCTCCTCCTCCTCCTCCAGCCGCCGCCACGGCTTGCAGGGTCGCGCGGCGCAACAGGTCAGAACATCATTTCTTATGGCCTGTTCCTCCATACACAATCTGGGGCCTTCGGCTGGCCGCAGATGACGACACGCCTCTTCTCTTTTTTATTCTACAACCCACTCCATGCACGTGGTGACAGAATTGTGGACCTTGCTGCTGAATTCTCGTCCTTCGATATCGTCGGCCTGCCAGGAACACAGCTCAGGGATATCGACAACGAACGCTACAGGGTTCAGACGGTGCAGGAGAGATTGGGTACATGCAGGATGGCGGGCTGGGGGATTCTCGAAGAGGGCCGCGGGCTGTGCTGTCTTCCTCCCCCCCGCGGTGGCAGTCTCGGCATGTACGTAGAGTGGACACTCTTGGGACTGCTCTCCAGGGACGGGGGCTCGGAGCTGAGATTACGAAGGGGGGGTTCCTGTACTAGATCATGGTGCTGTACTACCCCCCCCAGCCTGGAAAAGCGTGCACGGTCAAGAATTACCTAGCTTGCTGTGGTCAACTTAGTTCCTGGGCTCGGGAGCGTCTTAGAGGACTTCCAGCAAGAGTACATCCGATCATCATGAGTGACGTCAATGGCGGGATAGGTACGTCGAAGCAGGGGGGGGGGTCTGGCAGGATGTGGAGACGGCGGCGGTCGGTAGTTCGAGGTAGGGAAGTACACCACCGAGGGGCAGGTGACTCCTTCAGAGGCCCGAAGAGTTTGGGATGTTTTCGCAAATAATTTGCCGTTCGTCTTCTCCCACCTTCTACGGATCTGCGGGGGGGCACTCGATGATCGACCACATAGGCATTCCGTTAATGTTTTCCGAGAGTGTGAAGTGTGCGTCCCCCATACATCGGTTGGGCAGACGACTCCAGGTTATCAAAGCCAGAAAACCAAGATATCACGTCCCCGTACTTGTCAAGATCAAGGTACCCAACGTCGCCTTGGCTCATCAGGTTCGACCCCCACCATGCCCCAGTGGTTATGATTATCTGGATGTGAAGTGGGACCGAGATAAACTTATGAAGGGTACCAGAGGAGGGCGGGAACGGGAACCGTTTATACGCAGCGTCGAGCATCGACTGGAGGAAGCGTGGCCAGAGGTTGAAGGAGCCACACCATCGCCTGATCTCATATTGCATGTTATGGATAGTATACTCCGGGAAGAGTCCAGCTACGCATTCCAGCGAGGCCCCCCCCGCCCCCAGCATTCTCAAATGTCGGCTCTCCCGTCCGCGCGGCTCTCGCTTCTGGCCCAACGGCGTGAGCTCCGTGCATCCATGGGCCACATCGGCGCCACCCCGTGTTCAGGCAATGCGAGTTCGGAGCATGAGAAACGAGCTGAAGATGAGTTCAAGAAGTGTTGTGAGCAGCTGGTCTTGATTACCAAGAACTGCAAACAACTCGCACGAACTGAGAAGAAGCAGCGCCAGGAACAACTTGCGGAAGAGATATGGGCACCGTGGAGAGTCAGAGGCTTCGCTGCGGTGCACAGGCTCTCCCTGGGGCTGGCGGGACACCCCTGCGACAAGGGCAAGAGAGACTACCCCAGGCTCGACGGCACGCTCCCAAGCGCAAACGAATGGCTTGAGCTTCTCGCCCGCCCAGGATGTGAAGGAGGTATGGCTGCAAGGCGGGTTGGTTTACGTCGTGTGGTTTGGGCTCGCCCCCCCCCCCCCCCCAGCAGGACGTGGCGGATCATCTGGAACAGGCGCATGCACGGGCTCAGATCGACACGGGGAAGTTGAGTCGATACCTGGCCAGAGCACCAAAGAGGAGGAGTGCACCGCCGTGGCCGTGGCCGCCGCGAACCCGGCGCTGTCGGGCGTCGAGGCGTTCATTCTCACCCCGACCCAGAGTCGAACCGTTGAGCTCGCGGCGGCGGGACTTGCACGCAGGGCCATGATGGGGGGGGGCTAGCTGGGGGGAGGGCGGGAGGAGGAGGCCACCTTCGACGGAGGAGGTACTGAGGTGGTGGAGGCGGGTCCCGGTCGCTCACGAGTTCCAAGTTCGTCGACTCAGATGGCTCCAGGCTTGCATTAAACGTCCAGGATCACACAAACAGCTGCTGGCCGCCGTGTTCGGGCCCACCTCCTACGAGTCCCAGGGCGTCTTTGATGCTCGCGGGTCGGTCAACCCTGAGGCCCGCCCGTGGGCTGTGCAGTTCCAGGCTGATGTTATCGAGCTTACGAGGTGGAGCGATGAAGCGGCTTCTTGCTGGGCCAGAGGGGCCAACTCTATCTCGGGGCTGTTCGATTTCGAGGTTGCCCAGGACTTTACCAAGATCGACGTAGGTATTCTTCGGAGTAAGCAGTTTGATGTCGAAGTTACTCGTCCTGGTCTGGCTATTGTAGACTCTGAAGTCCTTGAGGAAGGAGCCTTATGCTTGACCCAGGACCACGCATGCCCTTGGATGACGCTCGCGGGACCTTGTGGGGCCACTTTTTCGAGCAGGTCTGGTCTCGTCAATCATCTCCGCCAGGTTCACCATGTGCAAAAACTGCCCCAGGCCCTCACGATCACGAACCAGTGCGCGTCCTGCTCCGAGGTGTTCCGGGGTCGCAAGAGTGCGCAGAAACATTTGCACGGGGCGCTGCTGAACGGGAGATGCCTGGCGGAGAAGGCGACCGCCCTGAGACCCCTGATCCAGCCCTCGTCCCACCGGCGTGGCCTTTGTGGCTCAAGTTGGCCGTCTCCCACGGAGTATTCGCAGCACGCGAAGTCGCGCCTCCCCTTCGAGCCGAGGGCCCAGGCCATCCGCCATGGACTGCGACGAGGAGCTGCCCGGAGAGGACAGCCGCCCGCCGCGGGCGTTCGCGGTGCGCGGAGTCAAGCGCCCAGGAGAGGGAGGAGGCGAGGTTCCATCCTAGCGACCTCGTCAAGGCGAGGCCGAAGCAGGAGGCGCGACTCGGGCCCGCGGATCCAAGAAGGAGAAGGACCTGCTCGAGGCGGTGGCGAGGCTCTCGCTCATCAGCGCCCGCGGGCAGGCGGCCCTGGAGGCCAACGTGCTGCAGACCTACCTGGCCCCAGACACCCACTGGTTCGCGAAGGCGGGGATCGGGGCCAACCAGTTCTACTCGAAGTCGGTGGCGACGCTCAGGGGGGAGAAGAGGTCCGACGACACCGTCGAACTCGGGCAGCTGGGCCCACCGTTTGTGACAGTGTTCTTCATGGTGATGGCGGCGGCGGTCAAGGCTGCCAACGCGGGCGACGGGTCCGCTGCCGGCCCGATGAACGCTTTCTTCGCGGAGCACGTCAAAAGCAATGGCCAGGCCCACATGAGCAAGTTCGTGACCCACTTCAGCGTCCAGCAGCCGCGGGGCGACCGCAGTGCCAAGATGAAAGGCATGGTCAAGGCCCAGATCCGCGCGGTGGAGACTCACGCAGCAGGAGTCCAGCTCAAACTCATCACCCAGCAGATTTTCCAGGAGGCCAAGGCGATGAAGCTCGTAGGCACCGCTCCTCGGGGGCCGCTGGAGGGCGAGATCGCCACCATTCTCGACAGGCGCCAGTAGGAGGCACTCTGACATCGGCGGGCCCGACAGGGGAGGGAGTTTTGCCTGAAAGAGGGGGAGATGTGAATGATATTCGGACCTCGGCGGGTTCGGCATCAACGGGAGTTTTGCCAGAAAGGGAGACAGATGTGAATGTTAGTGGGTTTATTCGATCTGGGCTGACAAAACATCCCGAAGTTGCGCCACGAAATGCCGAAGGTCAATCACAGGTGTCGAGGACACATCGTGCCGAGGATGAACGGCGGCAGAGTGAGTCGAGGCCGCCTGCCCCTTGTCCTGTGCCCTCTACCTCTTTCTCTGCCCCTCCTGGCCTCGCCCTCCCGCCCGCCCTCCTTCGGGGCGTCAGATTCTAAGAGCTGCTGGCGCGAGGTGTCATCCGAGACGTGCGCGCAGCAGACGCGAGCAACTTTGTTAGTCTGGAGCGGGCGGGGGTTGAGGGGGGGGCGGAGGATCGCGTGTTGGCCGCCGCTGAGGATCGTCGTGAAGGGTGGGCCGCGGCACCCAAGGTGGTGCGCTCGTGGCCCCCTGTGAGATCTCGTGGTGGCTTGAATTCGCGTCGTCGAAACTCCAGATAGTATGGCTGGCGCCGCAGGCAACCTCCGCAGGGGTGATTCCCTGCTATGGAGGTGCCCCTTCGGGCCAGAGCGGGCGTTTTCCCCCAGCGGGGGCCCCTCAGAAATGTTTGGATTCTGACAGGGTATAGCCCTGCGCAGGGACTCGCTTACCGACCGTTGTAAGGTCCCCAGTTTTGTTTTCCCATTCCGTTGAAGCAGTCCCCAGCGTCTCTTGGTCTTGGTCTTGGTCCTCCTCCTCCTCCTCCTGCTCCTCCTCCTCCCCCTCCTCCTCCTCCTCCTCCTCCTCCTCCTCCTCCTCCTCCTCCTCCTCCTCCTCCTCCCTCCCCCCTCTCGCGTCGCGCCTGGGCGCCGCCTCCCTGCCTGCCGCCCGGCGTTCGGTGGGCCGAGGGCCCGAGGTCCTCGGCGGCGGCGACTGGGGCAACGAGCCACTGCCCACCGCGGAGAGGCTGAGCCTGGCGACGCTGGCCTGGACCTCGCGGCCGCCCATGCGGGAGGCCCTCCCCTCGGCCTAGTAACACCTCGTCGTCGTCGTCGTCGTCAACACCTCGTCGTCGTCCTCCTTGTCGTCGTCGTCGTTGCCGTCGTCGTCGTCGTCGTCGTCCTCGTCGTCGTCGTCTTCCTCGTCGTCGTCGTCGTCGTCGTCGTCGTTGTCGTCGTGGTCGTCGTCGTCGTCCTGGTCCTCGTTCTTGTCCTGCACGTCTTCCTCCTTCTCCTCCTCCCCCAGGGGGGCGGGGATGGATGGAGGGGCAGCGGGAGGGAGGCAGGAACAGGAGGAGGAGCAGCAGGAGGAGGGGGAAGAGGAGCAGGAGGGAGAGGGATGGCAGCGTGCATCGCCGAATCCAGTACCGAAGCAGGAACAAGATAATCATGAGGGCGTTTGCTCGGAACGCGAGCAGGGCACAGCCGCTCTTCTGAACCCTCCTTGTCACGTCGGAGGGATCGGCTGGGTTTGCGTTTTCGGGGACCGCTTCCATATTATTGCTTCAACAGGTGTTTTCGAAAACTTTGGGGTGGGTGCACAACGCCATCGGGAGCGCGCGCTTCACTGTGCCGCGTTGTGCGCGGGCACAAATTTCGTGCCCGCGCCTCGCACGCGCGCAAGCGACCGAGCTGCGCGCGCGGGCCGCCTCCCGCTTCCTTGCGCCTTGCGGCGTGCAGCCCCCGCGAAGGGCTCGCGCGCGCGAGGGCGGCGTCGGCGTCCGTTGCGCCGCGCGCGGGCCCCACGAGAAGGGCCCGCGCGCACGGTGTGCCGGCTTTGCTCGCTTCTCGCATTGCGTGTTGTGCTGCGCTGCGCGCGACCCCACGAGAAGGGCCCGCGCATTCACGGCGTGTTTATTATGCTTTCTTCTCGCATTGTGTTATTCGTTCCATGCAGGCGCGCGGGGATCCCGTCGGTGCGGATCGCGGCGCGCCTCGGGGTTGCGCGGTTTGCAGACTTTGTCGCTTGCGTGCCGCTTGCGACGGCGCTCGCGTCTTGCCGTCGCTTGCGGCGCGCGCGCTTTCGCCCCGCCCTCCCGCTCCTGGGGGTACTTGCATCCCTGGCGCCCCGCGCGTCGGCTCTGTCTGGCACCGCCGGGCTGGACGGCGCGGGGGTGCCGCGCCCGTTGTCAAGTGGGTGCAGGCACTTTCGGGTGCGGGAGGCTGCAGGCGCAGCTGAAATTTGTGATGACGCCAGTAGGAACAATGCCTCGATTATGAGCTCTACGCCTTACGCCTCCATGATGCCGCCCTGGGGCCTGCCGGGCCCCAACGGGAAATACCAGTAATGACGAGAGGCTCACTAACAGGAGCAAGGCGATGGCCTAGAGCAGGATGGTGAGGAGGGGGAAACGGTTTTCGCTGCTGATCCAGAAGAGGAGGGCGAGCCTGGAGGGAGGCGCAGAAGATGGGGTCGGGATGAGGATGAGGAGGGGTGAGGTGATGGAGGAGTAGGATGAGGAGGAACAGGAAGATGGGAAAGACGAGGAGGACGTTGAGGAGGCAGGCTTTCACAGGAAACCGAGAGGCAAGAGCGGGATGACGAGCAAAAGGAATCAATGGCGGAACGATGGCGAGGATCTAGATGAGAGTGGAGAATTGAGGAGATGGAAGGCGAGGAAGAGGAGGAAGAGGAGGAGGGAGAGGAGGAGGAGGGAGACGAGGAAAAGGGCCATATGCGGGATCCATCCCCCGCATTCGCCCGCGCGTGCGCCGCGCGCCCAGCGGCCCGGCTTCGGCCCCCCAACCGCGGCCGCGGTCAAGGGGGCACCGCCATACCACGAAGGTGATCAGCCGCGACTACAACATAATCCACCAGCTGCTGAATTACGAAGGGAACGCCTTGAACATTACATTCGGGCTATGAAATCAAACCCCCTCGGTGGAGACCTACCGGCAAGTGTGCCGAGACCATGCGCGCATGGAAGATTACGGGTACGAGCAGACGCGGCCCCATAATGAGTGGGGTACAACGCCCGACGTGGGGTATTACTTTCGATCCGACGACATCATTATCAATGCCACGGCCGCCTGAGCGACGGCACCCAGGCACGAGCTGCACAACAGGCAGCCCACGTCCGAGAAAGAGCCGCGTAACAGGCAACCCAAGTGCGACAATGAATTGCGTACCAGGCAGCCCGAGGACGATATTCACCGCCAGTGCGACTCCGAGGGCGCCGCCATGACACGACCGTGCATCCCGAAAAGGTTAACAAAATACGTCGTCGCGGGGGGGGCACCTGTGCACGATGGCCGCGCCGCGACGACGACGCCTCTAACGGGCGCGGCGCGTGCATCGGTTACCACGAATGCGCCGCGTAGGGGGGGCAACCACTCTGCCACCAGACTTACGAAGGATACAAGCAGAACCGCGAAATCCACAAGCAGAGCTACCAGAGCAACCTGCAACGCGACCTGGGCCACCAGCAGAGCTACCAGGGCAAGGGGCAAAGGCCCAGGAACCACCCTCTATGCTAGGAGGTCCACCAGTAGCGTTCCGAGAACGATCAGCCGCGCTACGAGGGCCACCAGCAAAGCCTCGCGTAGCACCAATTGGGCGTCGAGGATCGCCAGTTGTGGCACCAGCATGATCCGTTGCATGGCGCTGGCACCCAGAACGTGGACACCAGGACTTGGCAGCCGAGGAGCCCGACTCTGACTTTGTGGGCACCGACGTCCAGAAGGACGCGCAGGTGGACGCGCTCCGGGACTACTTCCTGGGCCAGGTGCATGAGCACGAGGAGGGCATCCAAGCTCCACAGCGATGACCAGTGGAGGTCCGCCGACCGGCAGAACTACGAATTCTTCCAGAAGAGCTCCGAGGACAGTCAGCCGAACTACGAGGATGGCAAGAGATTCAAGAGCCACGGGCAGAACTAAGAGACCCATTGGCTAAGCTACGAGAGCCGCGAGCAGGGCCATCAGGTGAGCCACGGGAGGGAAACGACGTGAAGGAGGTGGAGGAGGTGCAGGGCAGCAGACACCGACGCACTTCGTTCCAAATTGGCCGGTTTTCTGGCGTGCAAAAGATCCGTCGAGCCCGTCCTGGAGGCCCGAGCTGGGAATTCTAGTGGGTCCGTAAAGCGGACTGTGAATGGCTTCCAGCTCAGCTGCAAGAGCTACGAGTAGATCTCGGAGGGCCAGCGGGCGATTTCCCGGAGCCGCCAGCACAATTACCAAGGTCATGACCAGAGTTTTGAGAGCCACCATCACAGCCACGACGCCCGCTTGCAACGCTTCGAGGGTCACGCCCTCAGCCCCCAGGGCCACAAGCAGAAATACTACATCCACCAACGCAGCCAGCAGGACTAATGCCAGTCCTGCGGGCATCGCAAGCTGAGATACGAGGGCCCCAGGCAGAGCTACGAGAGCCACCTCCAGAACTACGAGGGTCGCGAGCTCAGCTTTGATGGCCGCATGCAGGGCTACGAGAACCGCCAGCTGAATGGCAAGGGCTGCAGGGCAACGAGGAACACCGCTGCCAGCTGCACCACGAGTGCCGCCAGCTGAGCTACGAGAAATACAACGAGAGCCACGAGGATCGCCAGTTCAGAGACCGCAGGCACCAGATCTGCTTCGTGGGCAACAGGCAGACCTAGTACAGCCACCAGCAGCGTCACCAGGGCCACCAGCAGACTTTCTAGAACCACAGGCTGAGCAACGAGCACCACAGGTACAACTACTCGAGCCACCAGCAGAGCGACCATGGCGACGAGCTGCACTGCAAGGGCCGCGTGCAGACCTTCGAGAGCCACCAGCCCAGCTACGAGGGCGAGTTGCCGGCTTACGAGGGCCACAACTTGAGCTACGAGGGCCATCGGATGAACGGCGAGACTCTCCTGCAGAGCTACCATTGCGACAACCCAAACGGCAAGGGCCAGGATCATAACTCCGAAAACCACCAGCTCAGCTACAAGGGGTACCTGCTCAGCTGCGAGGGCCACAACTTGAACTGCACGGGCAGCAAGCAGGGCAACGAGTACCTCCTGCAGAGCTACCAGGGCGACGAGCTCACTTGAACTTGCCACCGGCTAAGCTACAAGCTGCGATGCGAATGCCGAAAGCAGAGTTACGATATCCATGGGGGTGCTATCAAGGCCACGTGCTGTTCTACAAGAGTTGGCAGCAGAGCTAGCAGGACCACGAGCTGGGCTGCAAACCCCGCGCGCTCAGCTACAGGGGCCACGCGCAGGGCAACGGGCACCGCTGGCCGAGCTACCAGGGCCAGCCGCTGCACTGCGAGGCCACGAGACGAACGCCATGGCTCACTGATGGCTTGGACAACCAAGAAGCTGATCGCTATAGGAGACACGGTGGAGGGCAAGTTAGGCAAAGAGTACAACGGGCGCGCGGCGTTGAAACTCAGCGCCCAGACATTGACAACTCGTTGGGCCGACGGCGCGGAACAAAACGCCCCCCGCTACTTCGCCCGCCGGAAACCACAAGCAGGGCAAAGTGGGTCACGAGCTGATCTACGAGAGTCACGAGCAGGGCTACGAGGGCCACCATTCGAACTGCCCAACCAGGTGTCGCCGTAGAGAACAAGGCTGGGCTGGCCTGTCGAAGGTCGGAGACGAGCGCGTGCTACGAAAGCGTTATGCACACTTGTATACTAGTACATCGCTACGTTCAGTATACTACGTCTTTCTCATTGTCGATGAAGGCGTCCTCGCCATCCTGCGCAATGTTATTATCTAGCTGCCCGCGGCAAGTCCCGCCACCGTGCCAGCCCAGCATGCTTGGCGGCCCCCTTTCGAGAGGGTGCCAGAGGCCGTGCGTGCGAGAGATGAGCGTGAGGATAACAATGATGGTAATGATGATGGTGATGCTGATGACGACGATGAAGATGGCGATGCTGATGCGGATGATGGTGGCGATCTTATGGGTGGCGATGCGATTGTTGCTGGTGATGATGGCGACGATGATGGCGATGATGGTCGCTGGGATATCGTGGGGGCCTTGTCGGGGGATTGCTGGGGGCAGTTTCGAAGCCTCTTGGGGGCCGTCTGGCGGCCTC